ATCTTGATAGCCTGAGCGTCGTGCCTCCCGCGGCCAGACAGCGAGACCGCGTGACAGCACACCGGTGGCATGCAGTCACAAATGACAGCGGAAAATAGTAGGAAAATCGGGAAACGACCACGTAGCATAGGTAGAGAAGGGTACTACAGCTGAAATCTTCGAAACCGGCGGTTGCTTGCGCCACCCTGTACCCGTGCCGTGTACTTTACTACGACGTGATTGAATGTTGCCACCCAAGCTCTCGTTTCCCGCTAAATCCAATGTCGTTGTAGACATTTTTTGTTTTTAGATTTGAGTCACTTTGGCACAGTGTGGCGCAATTTCGACCGATTTCGCTTTTTTGGCGCACCTATGCCACAAAATCCGGTTTATATCAAAATGGCGCAATTGGCGCGGATGTCACACCCCTGATATCCGGAATTGCGTGCGATTGTTTTTAACGCTTCGCCGAGTCGCGTGAACTGTTCGTGCCGCAGAGCACGCGAGCTCGGCCGCTCTATTGTGAAATCACGGCTGCCGGAGCGGCGTCTATCGCCGTTTCAATCAGACGAGCGCGTCGTGATGAAGCGAGCAAACGAGCAGGCCAGCTGATAAGGAAGGACTTGCGTGCGCACTGCACGGTTCCGCTCCGGTGTTATCCGCGTGACGTCACTTTCGTGACCAAGTTTTCGTGACATCGAGCTCCCAACTTTGCACCCCCTTCCCAGTGCGGAGAAAGACATAGTTCTACGTCAAAAGGTCGTCCGAGTCTATCGCGGTAACCGACGGGTGTTCCCCTGCGAAAGCCACTTCTCCGAACACACCGATGCGACGCGGTGAAGCTCGACGACCGCGCGCCCGCGCAAGGTGGTGGAGGTTGTCATCTCAGCTACACGCGGGAGAGGCATCTAGCTGAGATGACAATCAAGTAATCTCATCAGAAGCGTGAGACTCTGGTTCTGTCTTATCCCAGCAGTCGCCATACAACCATATTATAAATATTTCTCCCTACTTCTAGCTCCGTGACATCGCCGACATCATCGTCTGGAAGTTCAGACGATGACGTGGCCAACGAATATGGCGCAACACTTCCATCACTATTAGTTTCACCAGCGAGAAAGTGAAATCATTTTTTGTCGCTATGCGGCACCAATCTCTCGGCGCAGTTTGTCGCAGCAATCGCATTACCTCTCGCATAGCATTCTTAACTAGAAATGTCAGTCAGGAACTGATATGCATAAATGTATGTGTAGATTTACATTTAAATATTTTGTTTTCTTTAAATGAACATAAAAACATGTTGCTTAATTGGTTATGTATTATACAAAAAAAAGCTCTGTGGACATCTTGTAAAAACGAGTTTACAATACAATGAAAACGTTAATAAAATTAAACATATTTTTCTTTTGGGCTATTACTAAGAGATATAGCTGTATAGGCTCACCTTTTTTTGTTAAAACGTTGTCTAAAAATACGATCAATTGTTTTGCAAACACATTCTAATTTTTTAAACATTTAATGAAAAGCTGTAAACCAGAGCCAGAGTTTGTAGACAAATATCTTTCCGGGCCTGTCTGCAGTTTTGACGAGTGAATGACCCTTGCACATTTGAACTGCATCAAAAAGGCCACTTTCTTGTACAAATGCAATTAACAGAAACTTTTAGCAGGAACATATAAAAGCGTTCTCATTTGTAAATATTGCGACCCTCTATATGAAACAGCACTGTCGAATAGAAAGAACAACGAAGTTTCTAAAGGGGTACTCTGGCCAGGGCCGTAACCAGGGGGGGGGGGGGGGGGGGGGGTTAGGGGGTTCTGACCCTCCCCCGAAATTTTTTTCTGGGTACGGCCCTGGCCGGTGCACTGGCAGCCAGCCGATTTTAATCTCCACCTCTGCGCACGCGCAGTGGCGCCGGTCGGCTACCGGGTACCAAACCGGGACCGGTTCTCCGGTTTGCTGTAACTCTCCATTATATGCCACCGATGCACATGATTCATAGGCGAAAATAAGACAACAGACACTTTCAAAATGGCCGCCGTTGTCCCCGGAAACCCCCCCCCCCCCCCCCCCCCGAAATTTTTTTCTGGGTACGGCCCTGACTCTGGCGATCTTTTTTAGCTACCTCAACTGACAATGTTTTCGGAACCACCGGTCTTTACCTTTTCCGGTATGCTATTTAGTATTGTGAAATTCAGAATACTTATTGTCAAATCAGCAAGTGAAAATGAAGCCAAAACCAACATTCAAATACACCCATGCCTTTCAGTGCCATGATGTCAGTGGAAGGTAGGCTTGTAAGTAGAGCAGGCAGTCTAAAAATGGACTACGGTATGCTGATCATTTGTTTCGTGCTGCTGCACGGGTGCTGTAATCAGTTGGGAACTTTTTCATAGATGGCTTGCACATGACGTCACTCAGAAAGTGCTCCAATGACCACCAGAGAAGGGGAAAAGAAGGAGCTGCCCTCTTACCAGGATCCTCTTTTGTGCCTCCCAAATTTGTACAGACGTCGGTATTTTCTTCCCAGAAGATTAACCTGTCACTCAAACTTTCTACCAAAAGCAGCTTCCCTCTCTTCCTCCAACATGGTGCTCAAGAGTATGTGATGTGATGCCAGTGCAAGCCACGTATTGTCACCAGTAGAGACTTTCACTTTGAAAAACATGGTTAGGACCATACTTGTAAATTCAATATCTTCGGGAAAAAAAAAGTTTTGGCCCAATAGACCCTTCTCAGAAAGCTGACAACAGTGAAAAAAGCTAGATCTGGCTGGGTTCACTGAGCAGTGGATCCAATCTCGAAGGATGCTCCCTTTTTGTTTACGTTGCCCCGGTACGAGTTTGGTGGTGTGGTGAGGAGGGTGTGGGTGCAAGACAACTGTCGCTTATTTATCACGCCCTGAGAAATTCTTTCTCTTTTTGCTTGGAGTAAGAACATGAGACTGAGTGGTACCATTCATCTATTACAAGTGAGAGTGGATTAGTTCCTTGAACGTTCTTTATGTGTTCCAGTGACGCGCTCACAGCCACCTTGTTGTGAAAGATAAGTGAGTGCTTGTGGCTACGCAAGTCGGAAGGGTGGCATTAGCATCATCCTGTTGTTCTATTGTCTACTCCCGATCGGTCGCGAGCTTATGTAACACACATTGCACAGTTGCCAAACTCGCTAGAAGATTGCACACAAAGCAGGTAGGCTGCATGTCTAGAAGCAGTTTTGCGAAAGCAGTGTCTCTTTCCGTTTGCCTGGATGGCAATAGCACATCATCTGTGTAGACTGGTTATGTAAAATCAAAATTTGATTATATTGCAATTCTCACTGGGGTGACTGGACTGTTTCTAAGTTATGCAACTAATTCGACCATTTCTGCACACACAAATGATTGAGACCATCTTGAATATGTTTCATTTTTACCCATAGTCTCTGGGATTTTATCATGCCAAATTAAGTATCTAGATTAAAATCTGTTGCACAAAATTAATTTTCATTTATATTGTTCACTAAGTCGTATTCACGGCCGAATAATTTTCTCAAGCCTTGTCGAACATATTTGCTAAAAGGACCAATCCTCAGAAAATAATTGGAACACATATTAACTACCAAATTATTGTAATAACGGCACTTTGAATTGTACTTAGCAGTCTGAACGCTGTAATCAGCTGTATAAATCTGCCACACAAGAACGCCAGGCCATAATTTTACCTATCTTTCGTGTCCATGAACGCAACTTCCAACACGAATAAAGGCATATTCAAAACCTATCGCCACACACTTTTCATGAATAACAGCCGTAACTCTATCTGTAGTGTATCAGTCTCACTTGCCGATCTTCGTGTCAAATGCCACATTGAATGGGCAATCGCTACCCCAATCACAGCTCACTTTAAGCCTGGATATCACTGCAGAGCAAGAGAAATACGATTTTTTCTCTAATTCTGGCAAACGAAACCACTTTCCATCTAACTTTGCACAACAAAAAAAGACTGTATTGTGATTAGTTTGGCAACACTGAAATGTGCGCAGACTGGCGTGATGCCATCCAAGATGGCGTCATCGGCTAGTCGCCTTTTCATGCGACAGATGGCGCTTTTTTATCTAAATGATATTTGGGTTACTCTTTCAGCAATATTTGTTGGTGTGCTTAGAAAATTTTCACGCAAATTAGGGACTATGAAAAAAAACGCCCGAGTACCCCTTTAACAGCCTGCCGCATTGTCTTGAGATATATTGCCGCAGTCAATAGCTAGTTGTTTTGTTTTCACACCCAAGGCTTTAGTATATAAAATGCTCTAATTTGTCAATCTTATCCTCTTAGCAGACCCCTGGCTGAGCCAATCTCAGTCCATTTTGTTATTCATAATATTCATCAGCTTAAACTTTGTGGGGCTGTTTTCTCACTTGGGTCGAAAGAAACCTCCCGGTGGTCTCAGAGTAGCAACCAACATTTTCTCAAGAAATCTAGCCTGAAAAACCTAGTCTTTTAGCAAACATTTTTGCTAAAATGGTGCTTTGCAGGAGAAATTTCTTTTAGCAAACATTCTGTGATAGCATAGCCTCGAAGGAGCTAAGCAAACTAAGCAAACATTTCGCCAAGACTCTTTGTCATGAAGAAGCTAGTCTCCTAGGAAACATTTTGCTGAAAAGCTTAGTCCAGAAGGAGTCAAGTGTCTTAGCAAATTTTTTGTTAAAAATCTTTTGTCCTCAAAGCACTACCGTAGATTACCGCACATCCGCCCATTCCACATTAAGCGCCCATATCCAAATTTCCAAGATATGAAAAAATATGCACCCTGCATTTATATGTAAAATTGATGATCGGACAAGCGCCCATCTTCCATTTCTTCGTGATTATCTCTAAATTTCGAGTGGGCGCTTGCCCGGTATTTTACGGTAAGTCTCTTAACAAAACATCAGCTGCCAGTCTGGGGCATAGAGAAGGTCCTTTCACAAGCTCTTCATACCAGCTTTCACTACATTCGTGTTCTGTTCTGATTTTTCTCACCAAAATAAAACGAGACAGAGTGTTTGGCGGCAAACATCTTTCTTTAGTCTCTAGAATGAATTTGCCAACTGCCTTCCTAGCATCCCAAATACACCTTGCTGCCCCTTGGGACACTGCTTGGGTAACGCCTTCTCCAGATGGCAACAGCACCACATTTGAACAGGCTGCAAGGGCATTCCCATGCTCCATCTCATAAACGTCTGCAGTTGCAACAAATGCAAAGGGTGCGGGCACACTCTCAAATGATAAAAAAGGCCCATACGACAAGGCAGTTTTAGGCGGCTTCGCTGGATGGGTCTTTGACCCATTTGCGAGACACCGAAGCGTTATCTAAGGTAGGAAAGTCTTACTGGAGGCAGTGTAAGTGAAGCACCTCCCTACCGTCCTCATCCTCTCATCGACCATTAGCTCTTTCTCAAGCAAGTTAAAACGAGATGGTGCCGGTGTGTAAATAGCACTTACACTTCCACCCTTGAACTAAGCAGCGGGTTTGGTAGCATTTGCGAGACTATGCTTACGCATAGTCTTTGGAAGAATAGTCGCTTTTAGTGCTCTAAGATGTAATTAATTTTTATGGTGAAAGGATGAAGCGTAAGAAATTAGGATATATATACTCGGACCGAAAGTATGCCAGGGCTACCCGGCAGACGGCGCCAACGAGTTTATTACCAAACAAAAAAGGGGGAATAGTAGAAGCTAACCAGGTTCGCACTCCTTTACCCCTGTCCACACCACAGATGTTTGCGAGATGGAGCACGGCCCCACATTCTTTTAAAGTTACACACGAGATGTTGGCTCAGGAGCCCGACTGGGGCTTCCGGATGACATGGGCGCAGTCATACTTCCCGCGCACCACCTTCAGCTTGAGCCCCGGCACGTCTTTGGTCCTGGCCCGGTACACGAGCACCACGCTGTGCTCCTGCAGGTTGTGCCCCACGCCCGGGATGTAGGCCGTGGCCTCCTTGCCGTTGCTCAGCCGCACCAGGACGCACTTGCGGTTGGCCGAGTTGGGCTTCTTGGGCTTCTTGACCAGCGTCTTGATGACCACCCCCTTCATGAAGGGCTTGTTGTCCAGCGGGTGGCGCCGCTTTTTCCGCGGGGGCGGGGGTCCCGCCGCGTTCAGCACCTCCAGGACGGGGTCATAGATCAGGCCGTCGTGGCGCTCACCCCGGATGCGAACGTAGTAGAGGTGGCGCACCGGCTGCACCTGAAGCTGCTGGGGAGATGCGGACAGCACGCCTCGCGACAAGAGGGAAGGACGCGCTGGGGGGAAGAGGGTGGCGGCGGAGGCCAGGCCTGCGAGAGGAAAGTGTGGTGCGTAGCGTAGAACGTGGAGTTAATATAGTGATCTAGAGGAAAAGGCCCCGCGCATTCTGGCCCCTTTGGAACAACGATGCATAGGTGCAAACATCGGTGGTCTCAGTGTGCCATCCCAATGCGCCCAAATTGCTGGCGACGCCTTAATTTATACAAAAGAAGCACAAAACCATCACCTGTAAGGTCTGCACCTAGTTCGTTCCTAGCTTACTTCGCAAAACAAAAAATAAAAAAACACCAGCACTGCGCATTTCATAAAATTTAAATTGAAGATCACTCGAGCAACTTGAATTCAACATGACAAAACAAACACGCCTAGCCTATCGTCCGCTTTCCTTCTTCACTTTTCTGTCACTCTCCTTCTTATTCTTTCTCTCTGGACCACTGATGTCAGAGCTCAGGGTTTGCTGCACCCTGCCTGCTGCACCACTTCCACTTGGTGCATGCCGCCGTATTAGATTTACGAGTGCAGCCTATCTTAGAACGCACGTCGAAAGTAGATTTCCCCACACTTTTCTACACAAGTGTAGGCTGGTGCAGATAAATGGAATGACCCCATTGCAAACTAGTGTAGAGGACAAGAAAATAAAGAAGAAAAGAAAAGCTCAGCTGCCGTTTTTGTTTTATTTTTTATACTTCACCACCTCCATAATCGGCTCTAAAAAAAAAAAAATTTAAATGCTTCTAGCGAAACAACGTTTGCGAGCCCAATTTCAGGTACGCACGCTTGGATTTCGAGTTTTCTAAGGCGTGCCAAATGTGCACCTACCTCCATGTACTATTATGGGTGGTCGACGAATGAAGTCGAGTGTTCTTTTCTGTTCATTTTTTTCTTATTTCTTCATCGTAAAATATGTAAGCTTAAAAAAGCAAGAGACTAACGACAGCGTGAAGTAAGAACTAAATTAAAGTGGCCTCAAAAGCTGGAAATGTTTTGTGGACAAGGCAGGCAAAAGCAGCTAGCACTGGCGCATCAAGGCAAAGCGTAACTTAGGTTGGCGGTGCCGGTTCGCCATATTTTTAATGTTAATTTGTGGCAACTGTGTGCGTTTGCATTGGGGAAGGGGGATAGTTTCCGTGTTGACTGAATAGAAACAAGCCCATTCAAACACATCGAAATAAGAAAAACCAGCGTGCGTTCGGCGTGCTGCTTAAGCGAGATCAAAAACTTACATCTTGCAGGAGCAGAGTTTTGTAAGGTAAGTTGGGAAAAGAGCTTGCCGAGGTTCCGCAAAAGAAGACTCATTGCAGGTTACCTGGAATTCGGAGAAAAAACGGTACAAAATTAAACAACTGCACCAGCGTTGACCGGTGCACACACGATCAGTGGCAGTGGCCGCTACGGTTTTAGAGAAAACAGCAATTGCAACTGGCCCGCGAAACACGTTTCGTGATCAGATCAATATCTGTTTTCATGCAGAAGAGCGGTGGCAGTAGCTAAAGCTACCACAAACACGACGCACTACTTACCGCTGTTACAGCAGTTGATCAAACGATCAAACCGGCGTAGTGGAGAAAAGTGGAGGCTGGTGGAGGCGACCATTAACGAATTGTACTGATGGCTCGATAAAGCCAAGTTCAAGCTCGATATGAGAAAGTCGGTAACTAGTGCCACCTAGCCAGGAGTTGAAAGTGAAAAATAATTGCGAAGAAAACGGGGCACCAACCTTAGGGCAATAATTTTTAGAACTTAAAAAGATATTTGTGTTCTCCATTTTTTTCTTCCGCCAAGTTCCAGCTAAAATGTTTAAATCGTTCAAAACATTTCCCAAGCCAATACTGCCAGCCAACGTTACTGCCAGCAAACAGCAGTATCCAATCCAATCCTGAACTAATATTTTGAAAGAAGCCCGCGAGTAATAGGGGACCCGCGAGCGCCTTTGCGGCAGTTCAGGTCGTCTGTTTTACAGGGCTTAAAGTCTGGGGGTTCTCAGAGGGCCTCAGACCCCCAATTGATTTTCATGGATGGTCTGAGACCCTCCTCCACAGCTTCAGCATCAGAGGTCGGCATTTTAGGTCGCCCTCACTCACCCTCACCCTCACAGCCACACTCACCCTCACAGCCACACTCACCTAAGCCCCTCACTCACCCTCACCCTCACAGCTACACTCACCTTCAGCCCTTCACTCACCCTCACTGAACCTCACGGCCCTCACGCACTCACCGCCCTCACGCCCCTCACGGCCCTCACGCCCCTCACTCACTCATGGCCCTCACGAAACTTACCGCCCTCACGCCACTCACCGCCCTCACGGCCCTCACGCACTCATAGCCCTCACCGCCCTCACTGCCCTCACGCCACTCACCGCCCTCACACACTCATAGCCCTCACCGCCCTCACGCACTCATAGCCCTCACGCCACTCACCGCCCTCGCGCCACTCACGCCACTCACCGCCCTCATGCCACTCACTGCCCTCACGCCACTCACCGCCCCTCACCGCCCTTGCGGCCCTCACACCCCTCACGCGCCTCACGCGCTGATGGCCCTCATGCCACTCAGGCCAGCTTCAGATGGGGCATTTCGCCCAGAAACTTTACGTCGCAACACCAGCAACACGGGCCGCCCACGATCACACGCAGCAACCAATTGCTGCAATTTGCCATCGTCATCATAAAATTTTATTTTTCTTGCACTATTTAGACACAATTACGCGTTATAAACGTGTTCCTATGCATTTAAATCTCGTTAAGAATACTAATGGACCTTCCTGAAACAGTTTATTTCCAAAAAACGATAGATTTGAAACCAGAATCAAGTCTTTCGGTGTCATCACCGGCACGAGGTATCACGTGAAAATTTTGCGTCCGATTGGATGCAGCCGCTTCAAACGTATTCGAATTGCTCCGAGTAGCTTGCTTATTTCGAGAAGGACCCGATCTCAGCAATTCGTGTCAATCTAGGGAAAGCTAGAGAACAACCCGTCATTAACACCAAAATTGCTGAAAAAGATGCTCGATCTAAGGGGGCCTCACGCTCTCACCGCCCTCACGGTCCTCACATACCTCATGCACTCACCGCCCTCACGGCCCTCACGCCTCTCACGCCACTCACTGCCCGCACGCACTCATGGCCCTCACACCCCTCACCGCCCTCACACCACACACGCGCTCATGGCCCTCACGCCACTCACCGCCCTCACGCCCCTCACGCACTCATACCCCTCACCGCCCTCACGGCCCTCACAGCCCTCACGGCCCTCACTCACCCTCACACTCATGAATTTTCCTGGATCAGAAACTCACTCACCCTCACCTCACCTGTGAAGATGAGGGTGAGTGAGGGTGAGTGAGGGCCCTCATGAGTGAGGTTTGCCGAGGTATGCTCAGCATTAGTGGAATTAAAGCCCATATCTTGCAATAAAATAACTTGTTTTCAGAGATGACATTTGGGGATTAGCAATTTGAGGGTTGCAGGTACAGCGTGGGCAGAGTCAGCAGTGGGGTTCATTTTATGTGCATCTACTACATCTCGCCAGAGCACTTCCCCCAACCCCACCCCCACCCACCTTCTTGTAGCGACCCGCCTCAACTCACGGGAAACTTTAAGCAGTTAGGAACAGATTCTATAGCAGAGTGAAGCTACAGTGTTTCCCAAAGACTTCGTTGATAGAAATGCAAACGATGAAGCTTGAACATCCAATAACCTTGCAGAAAATCATATAAGCTGGGGGAAAAAAATTGATATAGAAGGACAGAACACATTATGCGCCGTCAGTGTTCTGTACTTCTATGTTAAGTTTTTACACTATACCAGTGGTTCTAAAGCATTGATGATTCGCTGACCCCTTGTGAATTGGCGGATATGATGGAAAACCTTGTTCGTTGTGAGAGGAACGAAAAGTTATGGTTTAATTACAAAAATGATTTAATAAATAAATATAACTAAGGGCTAGTGTGGGATAGTGACATACACCCGAGAAAACTCGCTCGAAAATTGTAACGTTTCTTCTCAATCTGAGACAAGTTTTATTGCTGGGCTTGACTGATGAGGATGGGCTTCACGGACCCCTAGAATACCTTCCCGGACCCCCATTTGAGAACCACTGCACTATACTAACCAAAAGTTTAAATAAGCTATGTTGACATATTGTTTGCATTACTAGTCCAACAGTGTCTTCGTTTGTTGAGCCCATTTCAAGGTAAATCGGATACCTCGAGATGAACAAGCACTTTTGGACTGCCAGTATTTTTATGCTGGCAGTCCAAAAGTCCTCTGAAGGAAAGGCAGAGCAGGCCTCAAAACATCAGGTCCCCAATTAGAGCTCGACGGGACGTCCCCCACTTTTAGTTATGCTCACATTTGCATCTGGTCATCCGAGGTGAACAAAGCTTGTACCATTAATTCAGAAAATAGCGCATTGAAAGGGTCATGGCAAGATGGAGTAGGCTTCTCGAAAACTCAACTTTAAGAATAATGTTTAGCCTCGTGGCATGTTCACACACACTGCTGCGCACACTAATTAAATCTAGCAGTGATCTTGGGTATGCTTTAAAACTTGGGCAGCACTAGATCTTCACCAAATCCTTTTGTACTGCAGGTTACTTCTATGTATTACCTCCTTTCATTTCTCTTCCAGCCCTTGAATGAAATTATGCATATGCATAAACTATTGGTCCTCGTTTGGCCAACATAGTACCAGTGCTAAGTTCCCTTCTTTATATTCCAGAGAATAGAATTAGGAAGGGTATATTAACAATACAACAAACACACAGCTCAAGATCGATTTTGACACATTTATTCACCCCCATTAAATGTGGGGACATAAAAAATAAACTAAAACAACTCAAGTACAACCCTGCATATGGTTTCTTCAATGTGCATTTACAATGTGTTTCATTCATATTTACAAACAATTTTATTTTTGTTTTTTCGTTAGCCAGCTTCCAAACTGGTTTTAGAAGGGTGGCGGACTCCAGGATGATGCTAGGACTGAAACGCCTCTGGAGGTATGCCCCCTCGGACCTGCGAGCATGGAAAAATTTTTTATCAGCAACCGTTGCGAAGTACGTGGGAAACACTATTTCCTACAAGGCAGTTTCATGAAGAGCCTTTTCACTTCCAGCGGGGGCGGGGCACGTTCCGCCACATTGACGAACAGTATCCACCACTTTCCCGATCGGTTTGCATGCAGACGATTAGTCATTGGCGTCGTTTTCGGTGTTGGTGAAACGCACAAGCATGGCGAGTGGCACCGTCATGGTAAGTATGAGCGGGGACGTATTTGGGTCAGATAAACTCATGCTTACTGTACTTTTTTTTCTTTTCGGAGTCACCACAGCAGCCTGTACCGGGGCCATTCAAACCACCAAAGGACCAATTTCTCAATCGCCATCTTAAGGGGGAACACCGATCTTGGAGATTCCTTCCTTATTTTTCAGCCAAGCCCGATGAAACAGCAAAGAGATGTTCAGGCTCTCGTGCTGATTTCTAATATCCGTTTTCTTTTTTAATTAGTAAGTTACTTCTTAGGATGATGATAATTAACCAGACTTTCCAGAGGCAATAGTGAAAATCCATTTTTAAAAAAAAAGAATGTTTTAACCTATGGTCAGACACTACAAATTATAAAGAATACAATGTTGGAGGCACTTTTCTAGATTGAACCTTTATTAGTGACTACGACACATCAAAGTTTAGCACTCAATGTGTGGCTACCGAGCAATGAAGCAATAGACCATTTGCTATATTCCCAAGTGCCCCGGCCCGCACTCGAGGAATCATGGGACGGTGCTCCTTCAGCTCCTTGGTGATCGCTAATTTCGACCAATTCCATAGTTACACAGTTTTTGAGCGTAATTCTGAGTCACCCTGAACAAGCGACTGATATACCCCAAGGACCTGTCATATCACTTTTAAACTTTCTTGTCAATGTCAGCGTTTTTGACACTGTGCATGCGACCGCCTTTCAACCTGGCCTGAGCTGCACAAATCTCTTACAATATTATAATTCTTGTGATTGTTTAGCGGGAATTGCTTAAAAAGCTGAGAATTCACAACAACAAAAACCAAGATTTAGCTCGGACTCAGCAGGGCTGTTTATAGCATTTTTAGCGTCTTTGAAGCTGTATGAGAATGATAATAATGTAAGACATTTCAGATTTCTACAGCCCATCCAGGTTGAAGGGTAGACAGCATGCACAGTATCAAAAACGCTGCCATTGAGGAGAAATTTTAAAAGCGATACGACAGGTCATTGGAGTATATCAGGTGCTTGTTCAGGGCGACTCCGAATTACGCTCAAAAACTGTGTAACCAAGGATAGGGTCGAAATTACCGATCACTCAGGAGCTGAGGTAACACCGTTCCCATTATTCCTCTAGCGTGGGCCGGGGCACTTGGGGGATATTGCCAATGGTCTATTAGTTCAGTGAAACATTTTCCTACACTTACATTGAAAAATCTGCTGCTAACACTGTATGCTTTGCACACTTAAATCCACATTGCTAAGAAAAGTTATATTTCAACCTGCCCTAGATGCAGAGACATTTCCCCCGAAAAGTTCCGATCCCAAAAAATGTGAGTTTTGAGAAAATGTAGTTTCAGCATCAGCTTACTGTGCAATTTCAGTCCCACACAGAATGGCTCAAATATTAATCTTCAAAATAAAAAACTATCCAGAAAACAAGGTAAAGTATGCATCTATACAGCAGAACCTCATTGATGTTTTCAACTCATATGTTTTCCTGGCGTCTAGCGCTTACAAATGCTGGTTCCATTGAGCTCCCATAGGGGTATATGCATTACTTTTCCGTCTGCCTTCCTCGCTTCCAAAAACTGACGCCTGAAGTTTTGGGCCAACTCCTTCCTTTTGCTTGGCACTGCCTTTTTTTCACCTTTTGCCTGCCTGGACGGACGTGACCCTAGACTGGGTTTGGAAAGGACTCGCAAAATCCCATTTACCCCTGCCATCTCATTCTTCAGTACGCATTTCTGTTGTACTCGCTTACCATGGTTCTGCTAATTTTGTTTAGAACTAATTACTAGACTGGCAGCAAGAATAATCAACAAAACTCTCACTTTAAACCGAAATCAGTGCAAAAGTGGCTGTGCCTTTATAGGTTCGCATTCCTCGATTACAATTTCAGGTCCAGCCAGTGCCGGAAAAAAAAAAAGACCCCCGCCCCTCCAAAAAAAAAAACACAAAACAACAACTTATATTTAAATAAATACGAAATGTTTTGAAGCTGTGAAAACCTACGTATAAAATGATTAAGTGAAAGTTACCCCTCCGTTCTGCCTATAGATTCACCGAGAGCACTGTCGGTCACTAGATTTTACCTGATTGTAGGTTTGTTTTACTACGATCTCCCAAGAAACGGACCAACAGGGTTCTACTGTATAAACACATAAAAACACACTTATCCTAAAAAAAAAAAAAAAACACACACACATAAAAACAACTTAGGAACGCTAGAATCTTGAAATCACCAGGTAAAAAGACCTATTAAAAGAATAAACTGATTTTTGCATCCAGTTTTGCAAAATATGAGACCTCTTCTCTAACTGGCCAGACTCATTGAATAAAATCAATTTCTTCAATATATGCCTACATTTATTTTACACTCTTCATCAACTGCACAAAGCAATGTTTCATGCATTTATTTCAGCACTGAATTTATAACTGCTGGTTGGGAATTCGAGCACCGAGACTTACGTTGAGTTCGGTGAACACTGCAAACGCTTTCTGAAGGTCCCAGCTGTTTTGTTCCAAACACCTAGAAAAAAAAAAAAAAAAAAGAGGAGGGGATATAGCTACTCAGCGCATTTCACAACAAGTAAGAATAGACCATAGTAGTCTTTGTAGCAATAGGTACATGCTATAGTAGTTTCTGTAACGGGAAAAACAAATATTGTCGCAAAACACAAATACAAAGACCCCCCCCCCCCCCCCCCCCCCCCCCCCCCAAAAAAAAAATTGCATGCACCCAGGGCGGTTAGGGCCGAAAAAAATGCATTCAACGGGTCTAGACAACCTCTTTTGAACTGGTAGTTCATTCTCTTGATGTTCAGTGAGCACCTGCCATCAGTTGCCAGCGGTTGTTTTCACGAATGCATTGAACGATTGAAATGCATATTGTACGATACTCTAACATATATTTGGACAGCTGCGTCGGGCAACGTCCGAGCCGAGACGAAACGCTCCACCCACCTTTCCGAAAACTGCCTGTTCATCCGCGTCTGTGCGCACAGCTCCAAGACGAGCCTCTCCTGTTCACCCATTGGGCTCGGCAGGGCCGAAGTCGGTGGCGCGCTGTCGCGCATTGGGAACGCCTGCAACACGAGGACGAAGAGTAAGTGAAACACGGTATGGTTCACTCAATGTTGGAGAGGTGAACAGCAATTAGGAGGTGTGGTCGGTGCAGTATGAATGAACAGAAGTGACAATGTGACAGGCAGATCGCGTTCGGTATCAAACTCACTGGAGCAAGCCCCTGCACTATGCAAGTATAAACGGCGAGTCCTTGGGAACCTTTGCAGAGTTGAAACATTCTCGATGAGAAAATCACTAGACGACCCGAACGAAGAGGCGCTAACTAGGACGTCATATTTTGCCAAATTTTCCGAGAAAATATACTAGCGCAACATTGGCATGCCAAATTTAAACGAAATATGAGAATAAAAAAAATAAATTAAGAACCATAGTTTTTTATTTAAACGATTTAGAAGTCTGCACGGTCGAAATTGCATCTAGCAATTATTGAAACTTTTTAAATTATTTAGTCTCATTTTCCTTTACCCTTATATGCAATGCTCTTTCCTTACAACAGGGCACCACTGTCCATAACCTGCCTTTACCCCGAAGTTTCAAAAATTTATGCTCGCATGCATCGTAAATTAAGGAAACTCTCCGCACCTTGGCCTGCTCCTCGGTTCCACCGGTGATGCACAGCGTCTCGTTCACTATGGAGAACCTGAAGAAGAAGCAACAGCATGAACAAGGGCAGCAAGAAAAAGCAAGGAAACACCTCATGACTATCACGCCCTGTTTTAAAAAAAAAAAGAAAAAGAGAACTATTCTCTTCTCTGTGTATCTCAAAGGCATTTCAAGCATGTAGCATTTCTAAATCCTCTGTGACGTCATGGTGCAATACTGTCACGCGACCACCGGAAAAGCACGCGGTTGCACATTCTTATATGACGTGACGTCCCCTTAGAGGCAACCGGCCACGAACATCGAAGCCCAAAGATCTGGCCCGATGAATGCTATGCAAAATTTAAATGTCTTAAAAAGACACTGAACCTAAAAATATTTTTACAGCAGAGGTGTTTATGGCTAGGGTTCCATGGATCTTTTGTGTGCGTGATTAAAAACTACGCTCGCACCGCACCCACATGCCGCATGTGCTGGCGTCTGCAGTACCGACTGTCCTGAAGCAAAAGCATGAAGCAACGACTAAACCTGGCAGAGAAAATGACATCACGTGACAAAAATTTCTTCGCTATATCTAGCGAATAACTGATGCGACGGTTCTCTAATGGGATTCGGCTTAAAAACGCCATCTGCATTAGAGCTCGCCTGAAGGGGAATGCCACACTCACCCTGCACCTTGAGGCACCACCACGAAGGTTCTGGTGAAGCTCTTGAGGGGTGGTAGCACCACATCCTTGTGCACTGCAACGACACAAAACCGATGAAACATTTACGCCAGATCAGGTGCTCCCATTCAGTACTGCCTCTGGGCTAGTCTAAAACGAGACAACTAGGGTGGAAATAGGGTAACTAGGTCATGACCAGGATTCCGCGCTTTTGCAGTTCATTTCTCGTGAAATTCGGAGGGTGTTCTTCAAAGTCTATTTTTCGCTGAACATTTGGGGTTGATCGGAGTTTTCTTATGTTATATCCTCAAATTCTCTGAAATTTGGAGTTCATTTTACCGTATTCCCAATTTTCAACCTTCAAAAGCAAAACAAAATAAATTCCAGGCACCATGACCTGTTTTCCTGAAGGAACCTCGAAGAGCTAAATGGCAAACCCCTTTCGTCAGTAGATTGAGATTTCAAAGAAAACTGAAGTTGCATCTTCTCAGGGCCACTGATCTTGAGTAGGATCTTATAAAGTTCATTTGTAAAACACCGTCTTTTTCACTTTTTATTTTGTCGTTGCGACCTTGAAAATCTGAGTTTTTCGGATAGATCCAAATTGACAAAACAGTTGCCAGGGAGTTTTTAAAATTTTTTTTTTATTTATCTGAATATATGGACCCTAGCTACAACACGAAGCAGCCGGCATCGTTTTTAAGACTGCCAATCTCTCCAATACCACCATTTGTCTTTCCTCCCTCTTTCTTCCTATGCTTTCCACACATACCGATAAACTCAGAAAAAGTTACTCCTTCCCGAGCTAGTGCTATCAAAGTCGGGAAAACCGAAAACAAACCCGAATTGGAGGTGCGCTCAAACGAGAAAAACCCAAGCCTCCCTGGAAGAAGTCTTCATCTACGTCCTGCATTTTCATTTTTTTCGTGGCGACACGGAGCCCAGTTTGCACTGAAATATCCGCGCTTCTTTTCTCCGGTACTGCAACCCCCCCCCCCCCCCCCTCCCCGCGTTTTTGTCTCCAGTTGGTACCTAGACGTTTCCAGGGTCTTTTGGTCACGCGCATGTTCCCTCGAGCTTGGGGAGACCTGTTTATAAGAGGTTCTTTTTCAAACTCGGTTGACTGACGGCCAAGGCCCCTGGTCTCAGTCAGCACTGGTGCACCAAAGCAACAATAGTGCACATACTGAGCAGTGCTTGGCTCCTGATTATGCATAAATAGGTGGCCCAGATGTGCTAAAAGAGTGCTCAAGTTATAAGATTGCTTCAATTGGAAGCAGAGACGGTCGAGGACGTTTGGGAGCTTGGGAGGGGGGGACCCGTGAGTGCAAGCTACGGGACATCTGGGTTTCTAGGCACTCAGTTTCAGAATCGCCCTGTATAGCATTTTCTCCGACGTAAGCCTCAATAAATGCATTCTTTTTCCTACACAAAAAACAGAAAGACCGCAAAAAGGGAAAAAAAACAGCAACAAAAAAACAACCCTTTGAAAAAACTCTTTTGAATCTAAAGGCCGACGACCAGACTCGAGATTCTGCAAAGCAGAACATCCTCCTCATCATGGGGCAGGAGGAAATGGGGCAACGGTGGACAGGGTAGAAGCAGGGGGAAAGTGGGAAGCGCCAACTGGTCGTTGGTCTTTAAAGGAAACCAAATCCCTACAACACGGAGGACACAAGACAATAAAGGGGACAGAGAGCACACGCCCTTCACTCACCAACACGTAGGACTCCGAACACGGCAAAGCACATCATTGTCGGCTGCAAAGAAGAGCGAAACCGAGTCACGCAGGGTGAATGCTCAAGAGTTTGAACGCAGCTTCACACGACAGCTCATTTTGTGAGTATGCTCGCAGACACCGAGCACCCAATCTCGCGCAAAAAAGGTAGCGACCATTTCCCGGTGCTCGATTTAAATTTCCATTTGAAGGTGCGAGCGTGTTTGTGTGAAAACAAACAAATGCCAAGTGTAGTGCATAGAAAGGGAGTGGCAAAACTTACCGTGACCAAGGGCACGTCGACAGTGAACGAAGAGGGGTCATGCTGGGTCTGTGGCATCTGGTTCAGGCACGACACGATGTTCACCCGCCCCACCTTGAGCTTCTCCCGTCTCGCCTCTGCATGAAACAATACCGGAGTGTGTTGACAACCGTGTGCTTAAGGCACATCAAGGGCACCCGTGCCGAAGACATGGACGCCAAAGGTACACATGCGAGTGTTGCCAGAGGAGAACGTTCCCATTCACATGTCGGTATAGCTTGAAACGTCATGACATAAAAAGAGATGGTTATTAAAGCCAATTTTTAAGATTGAACACCCCACCCTGCACAATAAACTTTCTCTAGCCTACAAAGATTGACGCTGACAGCCCCCCCGCTAAATTTTTGTTTATTTTTTGCCAGGCAATGTCGGAAGACTACCCACTCGATATTTTGCTACGGCATCACGCATATTTTTAATAAAGTAAAAAGAAAAAAAGAGAGACGTTTACAATTCTCTGTAATGCCGAATTAGAGCACAGCTCCTGAGGAGGAGGAGGGGAAGGTACGGAGGGGAGGGTATGCCCATCCTCCCCCTCTCCTCCCATTTAGCATGAAATTTTTGCTATATTTAGCATAAAAATTTTTCCGCTCAATTTAGTGAGGAAGTTTTCCGCTAAATTTAGCGGAAAAATTAGAGGCAGCCCGTTGCCCTACCTCTAATCCCGGCTAGACAACCCTCTATCTGTACTAGCCCTACATCTCCTAGTGTTTTAACCTCATGCAAGTGCTCCCCATAGTGCACGATAACCTTGGTGATGGCAAACTAATAAACAATATGATCATCTCCACTGCCCGAAACACCTTCTAACAAATTTATAAACAACTGTGCCTTAAACAGTGCAATCCATGCGTCGGAGGAGCTTGAAAATAAAGGTTGCTTCAAATTATTTTCCCCTCCTCCTCCAAAATGTTTCTTCCTGGTTAAATATGCCACGGGCGGCTCACCATAGTGGTACAACTTGAGGAGGTTGCGGCTGTCCCTCTGAAACTCCCGAACGTCCGTCCTGGAAGAAGAGGTAACCCGTCGTCAGAGGGGTCTTAACGAGTAATTGATTGGGCCCTAACCCCCGGTTAGTGGGATGTTTAACCCGAAAGAGCTTAGAAAAGACTTCACTTACTTGGCCATGGGGAGCTTGGATGAATTCATGGAGAAGATGGCCTGCACGAAAAAATTATGGGTAAGCCTATCACATTTCAAGTACAAAACCACGAAAAAAGCTACCATACTCGTTTTCACCTCAAGAACCATAGTAAAAAAAAGTCAGGCTCCTTGCCTAGCATTACTAATTTCCTTCCTTATGTAGAAAATTAAGATATGTGTAGGTGAATTTTCGATTATACATATGTTATCTAAACAAGATGTACACGTTTCAAATGCCGAAAGTATCTCTTTTTCGTCCAACAACGAAATCTTGTAAAGACTATACATCGCACGGTGCATGGACAATGCACAAAACTTCCTTTTTTCTTGAGGTGAAAACAAGCATAGATTACTGCTAAACTAAGTATTTTTTTTTAAAGCCATTCAGTGATTATTACTAAAAATGCAGTGTTATTTGTTAGGGGAGCTTTCTCTCCCAACTATTCCAATTCCCCTAGTTCAGCAGTACATTTGACAAGAAGTCAGTGGCCAAGCCATTCTTCCTGGCTGGTTCAAGGCTCTGCTACATATGAAAGCAACAATTGCCACAAATCAATTATTTAAATATATTTTTACGCCTAGTAACGAATGTCAGCGTATAAAAAAACTGTGAATAGCTCACATAACAAACTTTGGCATAATAATTGCAATTCCAGTCCCGCTGCTTTTTATATGGGTGAACATAGTCCCAGACCGCAATAATCACTGTATCACAAACATGAAAGCAGTATGCAAAGCATGCTTTTATGCTTTTGGATGTGTAAGCATAAAAGTATCTGCAAGAAATGTAAAAGCAGCATGAAAACACATGCAAGCAATGTAAAAGCAGCAATAAAGCAGCGTCAAAACAACATAAAAGCGGTGCCAGAGCATAAACACATGCACAACTAATCTAAAAGGCAGTGCGAAAGCATGAAAAAGCAACGGAAAAGCATTGTAAAAGCATGCAAAAGTCATGTAAAAGCATGAGAAAGTAACATAAAACCAGAGTGAAAGCATAAGAAAGCAATGTGAAAGCATGAAAAAGCAGTGTGAAAGCATGGGAACGCAATGTAAAATCTGTGTAAAAATAGTGTATCCATGCAAAAAGGTCTGACACCTTGCCAGAAGTGTCGTAAAAGGAGGACTCACATTGTCGTGGTATGCATCCAAGAGGCCGCTTCGGTCCTTGGAGTCAAAGATGGTGAAGTACCTGTGAGACAAGACGCCCGTCAGCTCTCTGGGGAAGTAGCTTGGCTTCCAGGGAGCCAGAAGAATGAAGCAGAAAGGCGACAACTCACTGCTCCAGGAACTGCACCACAACTTGCTTGACGTCCTCCGACGGGAAGTAGCTTGGCTTCAGAAAAAAATTGCGGGCAGAGAATGAGACATCTGGCATGAAAACACAGAAACCCCATCCCACAAAAGGGCGATAAAGGTCCCAAATGCTCCTTTGATTCAGAGACACTCTGTCAAATGCAAAAAAGTTCCGACAGCACATGATGTGGTCCTTAATGAACAGCACTCGCTATCGAAATAAGGTGCGATTTGACACACGCAAAGGAATTGTGAATGTATAAATAACTTTTGTTTTCTTCTTATTTTCTCCGAATGCCGACCTTGGCCTGCAGAACCTAACATATAAGAATGCAAATAAATACAATACGAATGCCTTCGTACTGGGGGTAAAGGGGAGGGGGGGAGGGGGAAGAAGTGTTACAGTAAAACCTCGTCAATTCGGATCTCATGGAACCAGCAAAAATGTCCGAATAACCCGAAAGTCGAAAAATCGAAAGAACAAAGAAAACAGTGCGAAAACGTTTCCCTTAGAAATACCTTTATTTTGAGAAGAAATCTGTTATTACCGCCTGCTTTCCGGACGATACTTGGGCGGAGACGGCAACTTTCCTTAGCGCGGTCGAGTGCTCCACCACACTCGCACTGCCGGAGCTACGCATCTTGTGTGCGGACAATATAGCACAGCAAGGCCTCTTCTAGTTTCGGGTGTACCACCTTCCACGGCCGCTTTCTTTTCGCGTTGAACTTCTCGCTCTCGATATTGGCCTCAATTTTCACGTACGTGGCCAAACGGCTTCTCTCGACGTCGTAACTTTCCGTCACTTGTCGGGAGACGCCGTCCTTCAAGGCCCTCAGTATTTCCACTTTCGTCGCTAAATTCTTAGCCTAGTACAGCTGCAATGGAAAACGAGTAGCACAACGGACCAATAATCAAAGCGGCAAAATCGCGACACCCGGCGCTATTTTTCCTGAGCGCGCCGATAGCGAGAGTGCCACTCACGTTGCATTTTTCAACGCGGGGGTGGCCGGCAAAAAAGTGAGGGATAAGATAGCTGTTAAAATGGCGGGCTCTAGGATCCCCGCGTTGAGGCATAAAACGTGACTGTCACTCTTGCTATCACCACACTCGGGAACAATAGCCCCGCGTGTCACAATTTTGCCATTCCGGTCGTCGGTCACTTGTGCTACCCTTTTTTCGTTGCAGCTATGCTTCTGCCACTTCCATGCCAGGAGAGTAACGCGCTGAAGCACGGCAATACAGGGCAAGACTGGTGCAAAACACGCACGGAGAACCGGAAGAGTGAAGAGCCATGGGGAAACCGGAAAAACCATGTATGCCCCTCGGATGGCTTTGGAACGGACGGTAGCTTGCGCCACCTGCCGAATTCGTCTGAACTAACCATAGCGTACCACATTCCCTCCGGATCAATGAGCGTTTGCTACCATTGACTAATACATACGTTTGACGGGACCAGATCGGCAGTTCAAATTATCCGAATTTCCGAATTAGCGGGGGTTGAATTAATGAGGTTTTACTGTAGAGTAATTTGTTTCAGCTTAAGTCCAGACGCGGCCAAAGGTACGAGCTGGTGCGACCTATCGGACGGCATCAAAAACGCACCATCCGTCACGTTTCTGTACGTGTTCATCATCGCTGAACCAATCATGAACAGAAAAACCCAGTGACTGGAGCTTTTGACGCTGCTTAATCGGCCCTATTACATCGTAGCATTGGCTGCGTCCCCTGCCACTGGTTGCCCCCCACCCCTGCCCCTGCCATTGGTTGCACACATTAGGCGAAACACAGCTGCATTCCATTGCTGAAACCCTCTCCCACAACCTTACTAGGGTGCAACCAATGCAACACGAGCAAGCAAGTCTATGCAGAGTTCCCATGTGAAGCTATCGCTTGAAAACGAACCAGCACCACTCCCCACCCCAATCCATACATAAAAGATCAAAGTCCAATACAGGGAAAGGAAAACAGTGTCCCCAAGAATAATCAAGAGGCTGAACCATAAAATTTTTTTTCCCAGAAGCTGGAAACCATTTTTTTTCTTCTGTCTGCAATTGTACAGCCCTCTTTGCGACCCGCTATGGGTACAGGAGCTCAAGGGAGGTTCCTTCTGCTCAAGGGAGGTTCCTTCTACGAGAAAAAGTAGGTAAGTCTAGAGTGCCTCAATGTTGCTTGCCGGCTGCGCCTTGCTAGAGTGGGGACATCCTTTGGGAGGGCAAGTGCCGCCTTTTCTTGTTTTCCCCCTCTCGCTCCCGGCCGCCGCCGCCATTTTGCCTCCCCGATCGGCTGCCGATGCACGCGTGGGATCGCTGAACTGGCTTGTTCTTTTGCAAATGCCGGGTTGCTGCGTGCCGCAGTGTTCGAATCACTCGACGAATGGGTGGAAGGTGTACGGCGTCCCAACAAACGCCAAACGGAGGCTTCTGGCGCTCGTACAGATAAAGCGCGACGACTGGGAGCCGAGCCGTTTTGTCGTCTGCGTGCGGCGTGAGTACCAACTTTGTTTCCTTGCAATCGCCGGGTCCTTTGCCGCGCAGTTGATTGCTAGAAGGTGTTATTTCAGGTCGTGATCAATTACTTCAGATTAAGGCTTCTTCGACTTGGTACTGCAATGAAGCGCCGCAAATAACTTCCGCTGGTCATGGTCGAGGAGCAGCATGGAAAGTGTGTGATTATTTTTTTTATTATTTTATGTGGATTTTATATCTGTGGATCCTATCCAGGCATCTATGTGTCCCGTTTTTTGTATGGTATTGTTGTACAGTCCCAGAAATGTTTTTATATATTTTTTCTATTACTTATTTTGGTAAGTTGGTTCGTTTAGGTGTGTTATCACTTTCTTTCTGGAATCTGTGTTTGGTTGTGTGTGATTGATTCTTTTTGAATTTAGTGTGTGTTTTATTTCTGGGTTTTCCTCTACAGGCATTTGCGAGTCCTGTTTTTTGTATATATCAAGCTGCTGTGTCAAATAAATCCTAGTGTTTGAGATCTCTTCGTTCTCTGCCTTTTTTATTTCCATTTCCTTAGTCTCGGGTCTTCATCATCAAATCTTACCCATGTTTAAACAATACTCTTAATTTTAATTACGGCCCTTATCTTTGCCTTCAAAATGTCAAGTAAACAAGTGTTGTAAGTAATGAATCCTGTACTGAGTGCACCACATAACGATCTCCATTCTCTCCACTTTAAAATTGCTTCGTAAGACTTCTGCACGTTGCTGATACTCTGTTGAGAATTACCTTCCATACGAAAACGGGAGCCTGTAAGTTAAATGTTAAGCCTTTTCTTATCTTAGTCCTCAGTACTTTAAACGTATCTAATATGACATGTTACTACCTAAAGATATTTGTAAACTAAACGTACATCTATTGATTTCTTTCGCCATCAGTGCATTTAAAGGAAACAGGTGAGAAAACATATTGTAATAGTAACAAATAAAATATTCTGATTTCTGTCTGCGGAAGGTATTTTGAGAAAACAGGCCAGCAAACAAAATTTATAGATACCTACTGCGGCCGTTTAGGGGAATATAGAAAAAAAACTTGAATCTGTCTTGATTCGTGCGTGTACTTCTGTGTGTGTGCTGCTGCCTACAGGGCACCAGCGCACACAAAATAGGCAAGCAACTTTTTTTTTTTAAAGGTAAGTTGTAAGGTTTTTTTAGAAGAGCTACCCCAACAGGTGAGGAACTTTTAAATTCTAAATGAGCCATGGAAAAAACGGAAATGTTTTCTTGTCAAATTACCTCTAAACTCTGCACGGCGGCCGCCTGTTCAGTGGTTTTTCTTGCATCAAATGACCCATTTCAGTTTCATAACTCTTGGAAGGACAGCGCGTCCAAGTATACTCAGAATTCCAGCGATATTGGCATAGTTTCGGTTTCTGCATTTCAGTCCCTTCCGATGAAAAAACAAACAAAAAACCTCAACAGGTCCTGATGGAATGTCTGTTATTATGGAGTTCTTATTTCAGAAGCTCTGAATGCTAATCCAGAACTAATCAAGATAATAATCTCGGCGAATAAGAGGCGATAGAAAGCAGAACGTATATGCTCATATCTGCGCCTCGCTCGTTGATCGCTTTCATTTTTTTCATTCAATGCAAGGCCAAACATGGGTAGGTATTGCAGCAGATTATAACGAACATAGCCGGTATCAAATGTACTTGCATAAAACGACCATCTCTAACAACTGGACCAGAATGCCAGCGGCAGCCGACGGAACTTTCGCGAGCACATTTGCGTTGTATGCGGACTAAATCGTAATTTTAAATAGGAAATCAAACGCATACTTGACTAAACACATGACGTTACGTGTTTTGAAGTGGTCACGCTCTATTTCACAGGTGAGAATGCTCACTAACTGCGTAGAGAGCTCATAAACGGCTGCATAAGCCCCGTTTCACATAGACTCGACTGGCGAAGAAGGCGGCAATATGGCGGCTCCGCTAGCAGACGACAGAGTTGTCTCCACTCTGGGACGGCGGCAGCCAACAACATTGAGGCACTCTAGGTAAGTCAGCCGCACCCACAATCTTTGTCAAGTTCTTTTCTGCTACGCCGTCAAGGTAGCATGGTTTCCGCAGCAATGTCAAAGTTTTTCATACGCGGTGTCGAGGCTAGCACAGTTTCCACAACAATGTCTTTTGCACGTGCATTCGAACAAGGCGCAAGAAGTAGCCACGTGCTTGCGCGGCAGCGCCGCGGAAACTAAGCTAGCCTCGACAATGTGGCACAGAAGAGTCGACGGCCAGTGTAGTGGCGTCGTTCTAACGCCAGCTCAAGCTTCACGGTCAGAACACGGAAGGGAGAAGCATTGGTGAGACCGAAGGCACTCACCTTACTTGCGGGGATCACCTCCGGACTGCCGAGGTCAAAGGAGATTGGGGGCGGAAGCTGTTGCCGGTCCTGACAAGAAAGAGAGAGAGCACACACAAGGTGAGTAATTCCTGAGCAAAGCAGTGCCACACAGGACAGTCCTAAGGGCTACTTAAAAGGGTACCCCATTCCATGCCGTCACAGTTTGTTGCAAGTTTGGAATGGCAAGACAGGCTCTTCCCAAAAAGCACTTGACTCTTCACAGTTTAGCGGGGCAAGTGCTGTAGAGGAGAAAACCAACCAACCATGGCGAGCAGAGAGCTATATGAGGTGTTTGTCCCGCCAATCCACACCTTCAACAGACTACAGCTGGGATAGACAACTATCCCTTCCCCTACAAGTTGTCACCAACGCCGGAAAAGGCAGGAGCGTGAAAGGACGGTTCCGTTGAAATGTTTTGCGTGCACTAGCACGTAGAAAGTGCTTTTGAAAACCGCATGTTTGCACTCGAAGCCCTTGCCGGCATTAAAGAGAATTTGTGGAGGCACCGCGACGGCATTTCTAAAAATAGACGTCATACTACCGCAGAACCTCTTATTTCTTGCGTATCAAATTGCTCTTTGAAAAGGGCAGAGGGATGTATTTGTGACTATTAAAAATAGCAAATTCCAAAGGTCGGAACTTGCCTATCTAGACAATAAAAGTATTTGCAAGCCCTTAAACTCTGCAAATTTCCCACTCACGAAATTTAGGGGCGAGCGAACGTTAGATCCATTACAGCGTTACCATTTCTGTGATGCGATACAATTCTTAACATGCACTCTGTTACACGGCTGGCTTTCTTGAAAAGAGCTACACGCAAAGCTCGACCAACGCGCAGGTCAAGCTAATATAAGCTACATTTTGCTTATGTGACCTTGACATCAGGATGTCATGCGACATTCCGACGCAAGAATATTATGCGAGATCACGACTTCAGTGACGCCGCGCCACACCCTTGACCGCGGATGACATCAGAGTCACAGAACCGCACGATGACAACATCACGCGATGTGACACACAGGCACAGCATGCGCCGAGCTCATTCGCAACAGATTAGGTACTTCTCCAAGTTTATCAGACACAATAATAATTTTTTTTCCACAGAGAGGTCAGTTACACTATGACATCCCGTGCCGTCACAGAGTCACGTGACCTCACACGCACGCTTATCAGATGCCCAGCTCATTCGCAAAACATCTTGCACGTCTCCTAAGTTCGTCGGACACGATAGTTATATTTTTTCCCGCCAAGAGGAGGAAGGGCACTCACCAGGAGGAGCACCTTGGGGAAGCGCTCCCGCACGGCGCTGAAAAGAAGAGACACACAGAGACGGCCCGTGGCGCCGGTTCACAGACTCCTCTCGCCTCTCCCGAGAAAGAGACCGCCGCCGGCGACGCACGGCAGGATCCCGCACACCAGGGCGGCACACCGGAAAGCAGACAACTCATGACACACGGCACCACCACACCGTAAAGGTCCACAAACGACATCCTACAGTCGACTGCGCCCGTTTGGGATTCGCTCCGCATCCCGCCACTCTGAGGTCGGAAATCAACCGAGGTAACAAGTACAGGTGTTAGCAGCGAGCATGGCCGCAACTACAATTTCATCTAAAGTTTTTAATTTGCAGTGGGCTTACCTAGGTGATGCAAGTCGCTGCCCCATTCAAAGGGAACGGTTATTACCCAACCATCCGGGTGGATGGTTGGGTAATAAGCCTCCACCTTAATGTATTGGATACGTTATGAAGGAGGCTGCGCAGCAATTAATTAATCGCTGGCTGTCTAAGCTCAGACGCTCTTCGTTTAATTTTCACAAGAATGTTAGGAAGCTCGTGTGTTGGAGTACTTCGAGAGACAATTTTTAGGCCACAGTACCGGCCAGAGACCTTAGAGAAGCTTTCCCCTGCTTTAAACCTTCTTCTGCCAGGTTTCGAATCTCTTGCGGAACAAAGAAAATACAACAAGCCAGTGTGCTTGCCGTCGTCGTTCCCCAGCGTGGCTCGGGGATAAAGTCATTGGTCATTCCACCACCTCTTTCCCCGCTGTCCCGAAGTTTCTTCGGACAACCTCCCCGCATGAACACCTCAAGTTTGAGTCCATATATTTAGGAAAGAAAATGAATCCACAGAAGCTTCCAACGTGACGAAGGTGCCCCGAGAAAAATGGTTTCGTCATTTTGGCACGAACACTGGGTCCGCACAAGGGCATGGTGATTAGTTTTGAATGGACTGGAAGAGCCTTTCGAAGAAAGACAAGGTTTGCTCGCTGTGCTCTTGTCTCGAGAAGCAAGCAGGAAAAGTCAACGTCATTTCCATCTCCCCTCAAACCCTTGGGTTCCATTTTATGGCACCTTTTATCGTGAGACATGTTGTGCATTGTGTTGTGTCGTCTGTCTTATGTTGTAGCACGTTAACTTTCCCCCGTAACAATAGTAAGAAAAATTTAGCCCCAAGTGTAGTTTACATTGTGCCTCATGACTTGCCAAAGGCCTTTTAATGCCTTGAAAATGTTCAGTTTGAGGAGGCCCACGTTGGGAGCCCTCTTCCTTCATCGGCGTGCAGCCTCAAAGCCCAAACCACACGTACGAAGGTCGGCCTTACAGAGGTCTTCACTCTGTGGACTGTCAGTCTCGCTACATGGCAGTGGGGGTTCTTCGGCCGCAGGTGCGGTCTGGCAGCGCCGAGGTTAGGCCTCTGGCACTCTTGCCCAACTTTCAGAAGTTACGAAGGAAAAAAATCGAGAAAGAGCGGGATGGCGGCGGCGGGGGGCAAAGAGAGGCCTTTCACATCCGAACCAAGCGGGCCGGCCCCTGCTGGCCGCGGCTCCCGGGACGCAGGGATGCAGCGACGGCCGTCGTGGGGTGCCGGAGATGCATCTTCTTCCTCCTCTTCCGCGCGTGTGCGCCGCGAAAAGAAAAAAAAAAAAAGCGAGACCCTAGCAAAAAAACGATGACCGCAGGGCACTCTTTTACCCGCCGCGGATGGGCCTCTTGCGCCGCTCCCGTGCCGACCGAGGGGGACGAAAAAAAGGAATGGCTAATTGCGTTCGGCGCCGAGTCGAAGTCAATAGGTTTTCTCGTGCTGAGGTACGGCCCTTCTCCTCGTGCTGAGGTACGGCCCGCGGCGGCACGTCGAGATGGAGGAAGGGGCTACAACCACGAATGTAACGCCTCGCATGTCTGCTAGATTTGTGGCAGTGGGGCGCCATGTTTCTCATGTGCACCTTTGCTTTGAGGATGCTGTCTGTGTGGGGCCCTAGTTTTCTGTTGTACAGCAGTGTTCTTTGTTGTCCGTTCGAATTCACGCAAGCGTGCCCTTCGGTGGGCCTTGTGCATGCCACCATGACCCGACGTTTCCGACCAGCGTCTCAAGACAAAGGCACACCTGCGGACCTTGTCCAGCCTCTCGAGACTCCCCCGTCGTTCCAAGGTATGGAGGAATGTGCAACGCGCCGCCGAGACGGCAGGGCTTCGCTTGTCCCTCGGGGTGCAACTTCCGCGCACAGAAGGAAGTTTCTGAGGACACCTTGGCATCTTTCGCAATGATGGCAACCCGAATATGTCGTGTGGGGAGATGGTTGCAGAATCCGAGCAGCTAGGTTCCTGCCGAATTCTCCCCGTTCGTTTTTGACCCGGGCCACGCCGAGGGAAGACGACGGTCAAAGCTCGCCTAGCGGCTCTGCCAACCTAGAGATGTCGTTTAGTTGTGTCTCTGTTTAAGGCCCGTGCCATCATACTTGGTTGTTCAGGTCACCGGCTGTTTCGTTCCGATTCAAACGGGTACTTCGAAAGGTTTTGTCTCAGTAGTCTCGGGTAAACCTAACATAAGGTCATACTAGTGTCTCAACAATGAAATCTTCTGAACTAACTTTTTGCGGGTGTAGATAAGACTGCCACACGGGAGGTGGAATGGCGGTGAGGATATCGATGGCAAGTGGTACAGCGAGTAGAGATACAAGTCTGCCGAGAACGAAGTTTGATCAAGTTCGACTTTTTTGAACTTCTAACACAAAGTTTGTCAAAACTGACATTCCACTATTATGCCCACGTGCAAGCCTGAGATAGGTCTGGCCACCGGGTATGATGCACACGTGGCAGGCATCGCAAATGTAAAGCGGAAAAGTACGCAAAAATAAGTCTTCAAGGATGACTTAAGACTTAGTGCTCAATATTAGCCTCATGAAATAGTGCCAATGGTGCGTTTGCGTTACGCATCAAGACAATACACAACTCGTTTTGCGAGTCTGTGGCAGTTTAAATAGTAAAATTTAACGTTTGGCTTAATCTTTCTCAGAGTAAAATGAGAAAAAAAAAAAAAAAAAGAGTTTCTAAATACAGCCTTCAGACAGCTGGTCCCATTTGAGTGGACAAAACTGCAACTTGATTCTGGAGTTTCTGATGCGACAACGAGGCCTTGCATTTTGGGTTTTATAATGGTGGAACAGCAGGCACTTTCGTTTATCGTTTAGTTTCGTAAATAGAATAGTGAAAAATTCACGCCTAGTATTATATTGAATAAATGCGGTAATAAACTCGCTAAACCTTAAAACCAACTATTGAACAACTTTCTTTAAAAATTAAAACGTTCCATTAAAAAGTCTGGGAACAGCGTGAATCACCCTCGAATTACGTTAAAAGTCGAAGGTTCGTCCAACTTCAAACCTTGAGGAAGGTTTGCGACGTTCCTAGTGGCACTTCTCGAGCTCGCAAGCGGGCTATCAGACCTGCCGAGCACTTGGGCATTTGTTCTAGCTCATTCACGGCCAGTTTGAATCCTCTGGGTGGGTCACGGCCAGTTTGAAAGTTCCAAGCTCGGTTGTTTCCACTTTGAAGAGGTGTGGCAAGGCGTCGCTTCGGCCGGTCACCGCTTTACCTGACATACGACGTCTTGTCCGTGAATGCGTCGCACACGGGGTTTGAGTCCAGAACCAGCTCTTGCAGCCCTGTGCCTTTCAGGCAGTCGAGCTCGGTGATCTTGCGGATCTGCATGGCACGGGCAGGCCCGGGAACGGGCTCACCGTTACAACGCACGTACGCAGTCTACAAGCTTCCGAAACGCGACATGTGCATACACACACGGCTCCGTTAGTATGTAAAAACCGTCACCAATTTTCCCTCCGTTTTTGCAGCGTGAGCTACACTAGCCGAGGTTGAGCAGTTTCGCGTGGCTCGCATAATGAGCCGTGCTCTGTGCTGCGCATGCGCGAGGAGCAGTGACGTCACACGGCGCACAGCTGGCGCGCCGGAGCCGCCGCCGCCGTGCGTTCTGCCGCCGCCATGCTTGCCTCGCCGGTCTGTGCATTCCAGAGGAGTAACGTCCTAGCCGCGGCAGACGCACTGGCGCCGCCGCGTGCCCAGCTGTGCGCCTTCGTTGCACAGTAGCCAAGTCTGATGCTGCACCTGAGCCGCTTGATAGCGCCTCTCATTTTGTGCGCATAAGCTCACGCTACGTATATCCTGGCTTAGCTGAGCTAAGCCACCACAATTTTTTTTTTTATTTCTCGGTAGTGAAGGATTGCCTTCAAAACTACAGTAGTGGTAGAAAGTGCTCATTTGAGGTACTAATCCAAGTGGTAAATTTCGACCCCAGCCATAACCCAAACGTAAAAAAGTGCCAAAGTCGCGTTCGCGTTATTAGCGTCGCGCAGTGTACGAGCACAGAAAAAAATGCCACGTAACGATGGTTCTGCATTTTCAAATTATACCGATGAACCTTGGAAAGTAACCCCAGGACCGGTTTTATAAAAACTGGAGGAAATCGAAAGACCCCAAATCGGAGCAGTCATTGATTAAGATATTCCCATGCTTCACGGAAGAAATCTTTAACCACAGCTTTGTTTTCCGTGAGGCTGTTCCTTACACCCCTTGCCTTGCCTTCCCTAATTGGTACCGGGCAAATTTCCAAGTATTTAAATTGTGAGCAGCTTTGTTTTCTGCGAGGCTGTTTCTTACACCCCTTCCCTTGTCTTCCCTAATAGGCACCGGGCCAATTTCCAAGTATTTAAATTGTGAGCAGCTTTGTTTTCTGCGAGGCTGTTTCTTACACCCCTTCCCTTGTCTTCCCTAATAGGCACCGGGCCAAATTCCAAGTATTTAAATTGTGAGCAGCTTTGTTTTCTGCGAGGCTGTTTCTTACACCCCTTCCCTTGTCTTCCCTAATAGGCACCGGGCAAATTTCCAAGTATTTAAATTGTGAGCAGCTTTGTTTTCTGCGAGGCTGTTTCTTACACCCCTTCCCTTGTCTTCCCTAATAGGCACCGAGCAAATTTCCAAGTATTTAAATTGTGAGCAGCTTTGTTTTCTGCGAGGCTGTTTCTTACACCCCTTCCCTTGTCTTCCCTAATAGGCACCGGGCCAATTTCCAAGTATTTAAATTGTGAGCAGCTTTGTTTTCTGCGAGGCTGTTTCTTACACCCCTTCCCTTGTCTTCCCTAATAGGCACCGGGCCAATTTCCAAGTATTTAAATTGTGAGCAGCTTTGTTTTCTGCGAGGCTGTTTCTTACACCCCTTCCCTTGTCTTTCCTAATAGGCACCGGGCCAATTTCCAAGTATTTAAATTGTGAGCAGCTTTGCTTTCTGCGAGGCTGTTTCTTACACCCCTTCCCTTGTCTTCCCTAATAGGCACCGGGCCAATTTCCAAGTATTTAAATTGTGAGCAGCTTTGTTTTCTGCGAGGCTGTTTCTTACACCCCTTCCCTTGTCTTCCCTAATAGGCACCGGGCCAATTTCCAAGTATTTAAATTGTGAGCAGCTTTGTTTTCTGCGAGGCTGTTTCTTACACCCCTTCCCTTGTCTTCCCTAATAGGCACCGGGCAAATTTCCAAGTATTTAAATTGTGAGCAGCTTTGTTTTCTGCGAGGCTGTTTCTTACACCCCTTCCCTCGTCTTCCCTAATAGGCACCGGGCAAATTTCCAAGTATTTAAATTGTGAGCAGCTTTGTTTTCTGCGAGGCTGTTTCTTACACCCCTTCCCTTGTCTTCCCTAATAGGCACCGGGCCAATTTCCAAGTATTTAAATTGTGAGCAGCTTTGTTTTCTGCGAGGCTGTTTCTTACACCCCTTCCCTTGTCTTCCCTAATAGGCACCGGGCAAATTTCCAAGTATTTAAATTGTGAGCAGCTTTGTTTTCTGCGAGGCTGTTTCTTACACCCCTTCCCTTGTCTTCCCTAATAGGCACCGGGCAAATTTCCAAGTATTTAAATTGTGAGCAGCTTTGTTTTCTGCGAGGCTGTTTCTTACACCCCTTCCCTTGTCTTCCCTAATAGGCACCGGGCCAATTTCCAAGTATTTAAATTGTGAGCAGCTTTGTTTTCTGCGAGGCTGTTTCTTACACCCCTTCCCTTGTCTTCCCTAATAGGCACCGGGCAAATTTCCAAGTATTTAAATTGTGAGCAGCTTTGTTTTCTGCGAGGCTGTTTCTTACACCCCTTCCCTTGTCTTCCCTAATAGGCACCGGGCCAATTTCCAAGTATTTAAATTGTGAGCAGCTTTGTTTTCTGCGAGGCTGTTTCTTACACCCCTTCCCTTGTCTTCCCTAATAGGCACCGGGCAAATTTCCAAGTATTTAAATTGTGAGCAGCTTTGTTTTCTGCGAGGCTGTTTCTTACACCCCTTCCCTTGTCTTCCCTAATAGGCACCGGGCAAATTTCCAAGTATTTAAATTGTGAGCAGCTTTGTTTTCTGCGAGGCTGTTTCTTACACCCCTTCCCTTGTCTTCCCTAATAGGCACCGGGCCAATTTCCAAGTATTTAAATTGTGAGCAGCTTTGTTTTCTGCGAGGCTGTTTCTTACACCCCTTCCCTTGTCTTCCCTAATAGGCACCGGGCAAATTTCCAAGTATTTAAATTGTGAGCAGCTTTGTTTTCTGCGAGGCTGTTTCTTACACCCCTTCCCTTGTCTTCCCTAATAGGCACCGGGCCAATTTCCAAGTATTTAAATTGTAAGCATTTTCCCCGGAGGTAGAGAATTCTACACCCAGTCATGTTTTGTTTTATGTGAGCACCAAGAAACAGATTCCCCTCCCATCAACAAAAATTGTAAGAAAACAAACAAAAAATGTAAAAAAAAATTACTGGCTTGATTTTGAAGAGAAATAACACTGGAAACACAGAACCCTACGCATAACCAATTCGTGCAAGCGTCCAACTTAGGAAATAATTTGTGTTTCTTAAAGTGCCCCATTCTACACGTGTCGCAATATTTCTGCCCTTCCACGACCGATTTGCAAAGATGGGGCTAGTGAATGCGGCTGTTTCTGGTACCCCCCTTGAACAATACGAGTTGGTACACCAGATCCTGCCCTTTTTCTGAAACTGCGGTCCCCACAATCTCTACCGTCTCTCAACTTTGCAAATAGACCGAAGTACGGGACTTCCTAGTTTAGGCCGCAGCTCTCTAAAAAAACCGGCAAGCACGAAGGACCGTTTCGGCTCATGTTATCCGCAATGGCACACACAGACTCCACGCTCGTGTGGGAGCACGAGCCTCACCTTGTTGCGGCTGAGATTGAGCGACAGCAGGCCAGTGCACTTGGAATGCAGGGGCGCCAAGGGGTACAGCACCGACAGCTTGTTGTTGGAGAGGTCCAGAGAGACGAGCTGCAGCACACAGAAACGTGCACCAACCAATCAATAAATTCTATTTTGCCACATGCCCACGAAGATCCCCAGAAGCAAGGAACACAATGAGAAAACGCGGAGCACGACCCTCGTCGAAACACGGAGCCCTACGCCGATCCTTTGTGATGATGGAGAAAGAAACGATGCCGATCTTGCGTGCCAACGCAAACAAGGAACCGAGAGCGTCGACGCAGCGTGCCTTTCGTGATTGGCTCGGTACTTGCTCCACCGTCTTTAGCGAGATTTCGGCTAGTTTCGGTAGTGGAAATTTCTGCGTGCTAAGAACCACAATCTGGTTGGTGTTTGGTTGATGTTAGTATAGTGCGTGATTCACGGAAAACCAAACACTCTACGGTGCCAAGCTCTAATTGAAGGACACAGTGGGTAGATAAAAAATATGGCAAACTGCTAGGCAACTGCACTGCATACGTGAAACGTCGCTACACGTTTGCATCACAAACGTTTAGCGATACTCCAGAGTTTCAAGACACCAGACGGCTACGTTCACGGCACTCTTAATCAGATAAACGTGTACCACGTGTATACTTTATAGTTGTTCCTAGGCAATTTCCCAGAGCCTTCCATACCCTTGAGCGCCTCTCCTTCAGTGCGCACAGGTGGTCGAGCTCCTCCTCACCTACCCCTTTGGTAACGTGACCTCCCAGTTAACCAATCAGCATCGAGCACCTCAATCCTCCTCTCCCACCCGCCAACCAATCAGTGTCGAGCTTCGTGGCCACACTTTTATCCAAGCTTCACTTTCGGGCTTCATGAAATGCAGAACACCTGGCCAAAAAATGTTTTACGTGCCTTCTAGGGCTCCCCAAACAGCCACATTCTCTCGATCGTACCCACGCAAAGTGTTTTCCCGGTTCAAGCAGTATTTTAGCGCACCTGGGCTAGGCACTGGTTCCCAGCTACGAACCAAACACAACCTTTTATGTGCTTTATCGTTAACAGTCTGCAGGCCTCTGTAATGCCCAATTGTGACGTTGCCGAGGGGGACACGGGTTCTTCGGCTGCCATTTGAGGCACACACGCGTCCCTCGAGATAAGGTCGTTTCAGAAACTGCAAGCACGAGGGTCGCTCACCTCAGGAATGTTTTCGGTGACCACCTTGATGGCCACTGAGAGCACGCTGACGCGGTAGAGGGGCACGAACAGGTTACGCTGCTTCAGGAACGGCTCCTCGTGGAAACCAGAGAGGTTCAGGTGCTTGAGGGACGTGTCGTACCGCTGACTCATCACCAGCTGCACGCAAACGACACGCCCAAACCGCCCACATCAGTACACCGGCATTGAACTAAAGCGGGGATATGGACGGGGCGGCTCGTGGTCGTAAATATAAAAACGGCGCACAAAAGGCGCGAACAGACGAACGAGGGAAACGGAACGAGCGGAACAAGAAGTAAACAAGACAATTAGTCATTGACCGAAAATAAGCCCTCAGTCGAGTCCGTGCTCGTCCCGTTCATAAATCTTCAATTGAGAGTCAGTGCTCATCCTGTTTACTACTTTCATGCCTCTGTGTGGTTTGTACACTGTTTTTATGCTTTAGACTCCAATGTAGCCAGGGGCGCTAGACTCGTCAAGCACAAAGTTGTGGTTGAGGTTCATGAAGCACGCCGACAGGATTTTCGCGACAGAGACGTCGCGCCGTCGTCGCAAGGAACCAATCGGCGCATTCCGTGAACTTTGGCTATGCGGAGAGCAAGTCGACTGCCTTTTGCGCAGAAGTTGCAGTGACGTCCAAAACGACGCCGAGCTCCGATTGGAAGGATAGTCGGTAGACCTCAATGCAAGATGCCTTGAGGTTCACCCACAATTTATTTCAATCAGCCAATAAGAACTCGGCGTCCTGACATCCTCGCAACCCCTGCACAAGAAGCAGACAAAGTTGTGCTCCGCATTAACTTTGTGTTTGACTGCCATGCAAATTATCGTGAGGAGCCCCTGGTCTCGTCGAGCTTGCCAATGAATTGGTTGGAGCCACAGTGATGCCAGCGCAAAAAGGTAGGTTGGGTGGGGCATCACAATCCTCCTTCGCCTTTTGAATCACTCATTTTATAACAATGAAATCTCTAGGTTAGACTGCTATGCAAATTTATAAGTAGTAGAGAAGTGTGCACGAAGCTAAAATACCCCCCCTCCCGTTTGTTTGCTTGTTTTCTGTCCCAAAAAAGCAACACCCTCCCCCCTCGCCATTGGCCCTTGGCCTTTAGGGGGTGGGCTATCTGGATCCCACACTCAAATAAGTTTGAGACCTCTGGTAGAGGATATAGGATTGTTAAGCGAGAGGTCAGTGGTTCGATTCCCACTGAGCGGCACAATGCGTGATGCTCTGGGCTTGCTAACCAGCCCTAAACCAGGTACAATGTAAAATCTTTTGTGCCATCGCCAATTCAGAAAAAAATTGCTGCGAACAAAAACACATTTGTACACGGACACAACTGGGTAAGGATTTCAGACAGTCGAGGGAGTTTCTGTTTCTACCAGAAACCCGACACGTTTCACCAAAATGACACCATCCAAATTTGGAAAAAAAACATGTCTTAAACCAACCTTGAGGGCCTCAATGATATCGTCATCCATCGTGACCGTGGGTATCTCGGAGTTCTTCAGCATGATGGTCATCTGCAGGGCACCACATTGAAACAGTCAATGAGCCAATCAGTTCCCACCTTAAGCAATTTCCGATTTGCCTCAAATTGTCTCAACACATAAAAAAAAAGTCAAATTTGGGGGTTTTACGTGCCAAACCAACGCCGGGCATCTGGCACGCCCCAGCGAAGGAGTGAGGATTAATTTCGACCACCTGGGGATCTGTTGACATGCAACCGAAAGCTTGCAGGCCTCCATAAGATTGCGGGCACCTTGGCCGGGATTCGAACCCACCACATGGGGATCCGCAGGCCGGCGCTCTCGCCTCGGAGCCACCGAGGCAGCGTCTCAACACATCAACAGACATTGCTAAGCGAGTCCCCCAAATGTCAAGCCAAAATAATTTTTTTTTATGCACAGTTATTGAATTTTTAATTTTGGTTCTTACCATGCTCCTCAAACTGGAAGTCTCTCCCGGCAACAATAAAAATGTGACTTGGGCAGTAGATTTTGTTCACAAGTGATTACGAGAAGTTTGATGATGTCAAACGATTGCTTTGAAAGCTTGCTTCAGCCCTCGCACAGCAGCATGAAGCAAATGCGCAGCATACTTTCTCTTCTGGCCCTTTGGGCGCTTGGCAATTTATACAAAAACTTCACCGAAATCCATCTGCTTTTTTAACTGCACACTTTTATATCAAATTTTCTCTTCACATCAAACTTATATGGCACAGGGCTAAAATCTTTGCAAGTTACCTAGATTCAAAATTGATCTAAATTTACACAATAATACGATGAAATCCGCGATAATCTGATTTATCGCATCAGCACTGAAAAGAAGGTCCCAGTACTCTGGCACGCTTAGAGTCAATGTTGTCATCGAGGTTGATGTTGACGCTGGGCCTTGGCAATGGAGGGTAAACGGTGAAGCACCAGGAGGGTTCGTCGCATCCACTTTTGTCCAGAGACAAGTCGAAGCAAAGACCTCTTTGTCGCTGACACCCAAACCCTTTGAGCTTTCATACCCTTTTGTAGTTATCACTCCTGTTGCTATCGTCCAGTGCAGGACTCGGCAACCAGCGAGGCCGTTTCATGCGGTCCCCGAGACAATATCAGAAGCCTCCGCCCCACCCTGCCGCTTCCTCACACAAATTCAAGGATTAGATGGGAATTTTTTCCTCAAACGGGGTTAGACAGGAACAAGGAGCACTTCCAATCGACACTGCCCGACATCCCCATAATTGGGCAGAGAATGTCTCACACCACTTGGCTAGGAATTTGCCTTCAAACACAAAACCTCCTATACCTGCATGTCCATAAACTGTCTACAGTGCAATCCACTTATAACGATAATGAGGAAACCCAAAATTTCAATCGTTATAACCAATTATCAGTCTGTCTGGACTATACCCGTTTTCACCTCAAGAACCGTAGTAAAAAAAGTCCGGCTTCTCGCGGAGTATTACTGATTTCCCCCTTTATGTAGAGAATTAAGATATATGTAGGTGAATCGTAGACTAGATATGTGTTATCTTATCAAGACATACACATTCCAACCGCCAAAAGCATTGCTTTTTCCTCCGACAACCAAATCTCGCAAGAACTACTTTGCGCCGCGTATGAACGATGCGCAAAACTTGCTTCTTTCTTGAGGTGAAAATGGGTATAGCAACTGATCGTGATAAGTGGTACATCATTATATGTGCTATTGTTATAAGTGGATTGCACTGTGTGTTATTGTACCGCGACAGCAGAGTGAGAAACAAGACCTGGAGCTTCCGATAGCCCATTCTAAGACCAATGTCGACTTGTTTCAGAAAGCAGAATTACCGACACACCGAACTTCCCATACAAGAGAATAGCAGTTCAAATGAGCACACTGTGAGTTACTTAATACTTGGAAGAGCCTAATTCTAGCTAATTGCAAGATTTAAAACGATACGGCGAAAAATCGGCAACGCAAACGCACAATCCCACGGTAACGAGCCGACGTGGTGCGCTCCCAATCGCAAAATTGTCGAACCCTTAAAATACTCGCCAAGCGCATACTTCTAAAAGTTTTCAAATATTGTGCCCGTGAAAATAAGGTCAATCACAGAAATCTAAAGGCCAATCATAACAAAACTAGAAAAAAAAAAAGAAGCTTAGTACGCCTTCTTTAATTGCGTTGCATGTACGTTTTTCCGGCGGGAAGTTGGTCGGTCCCGGGCAGGCCATAGGCGAGAAATCAAACGCTTAGCGTCCTGTCCTGCCTCTACATCAAAGGTGGTCCTTCCAAAGTGGCAACAAATAAGGTCACGGGAGCTAGCACGTCACGCTGTCGGACGTCGTGGTCCTGGCGGTTGGAAACGCGTTCCAGACACTGTGCCGGTAGGATGCCCGTCTGGGTCGAAACAATCCAAGTCCCGACTTCCAACGCTTCCAGCGACCTTTGTTTGCCCGAGAGGGGTGCAAGAGAAGGGCGGGCGAGGGGAAGAAGACGTCACCTTGAAGCCTTGAGGGGTATCGATGGTCTTGTTCAGACTCCTGATTGCCGTGGCACTTGCCGCGTCGTTCACAAAGAACACCGCATAGCTGCCGTCGTGCTGATACTGCAAAAAAAAAAAAAAAAGCTTGAGGTTTGCTTAAAGGGACCATGAAATGATTTTAAAATCTAATTTCATCCACCGCACGTCGTAAAAGGTGTGAAAAGAAACACAAAAACACAAAACTAGGGAGCCAAAAAGAATTATTTGCTATAGAACTTTTAAAAGAAAACTGGACCCTTTTGCAACTTCTTTCCTTCGAAAGCTCTGCCTTTTCACTACGATGCATCCGCAGAAATGGAGCACGTCAGCCGAATCCACGTCGCCTATTGGGTAAGAGCCTACCTCACCAGCACCGCGATCGTAAACAATAAATAGCCGGCGAATGTTTCCTAAAAGTTTTGTTAAATAATATTCAGACCCACATTTTGTAGCATAATTAGAGATGTGTGGCGAAAATTGCCAAATTTGATAATGCTGAGAGCCAAGCGCCATCTATCGTGTGGTAAACGAAGCAACTACTGCGCGTGCGCAGTAGGGCAGGGCTGGCAAGGCCGACTCTTTGGTTTCCTTCCTCTCAAAACTCTGACTGACTGAACGTTTATTTTTCTATGTGTTCATCTCGCGCGTGCCGACTTCAAGCAGCAAGAAAAGAATGTACTTAAAACAGACCACGACGAACAAGAACGCTGGATCCACAAACACCCGAGAAGAGCGACAACAGCTGCGAATCGCGCTCCGACGAAGCTCTCAGAATATAGGCCTAGCAGGCACTCCGACTCGGCGCAGCGTTGCTTCGTCGCAAGACCGTCTGTCTGCCTGCGACCGGCTGGCGTGCTGAATGGAATATGCCCGCGCTACCCTTGTGGGGTACCCTTGTGGACTCTTCCCGTATAATAGTTTGATCGCTGACCTCAATTTTACGTTAAGAGGTGAGGTCAATCTCTTCCCCTTGTTTTCCGAGGCAGTGTTGACGAACACTCGTCGAAAAGGAACCCTCGTCGATTCTCTCCTTGTTTTGTGTGATATAGAGCTGAAATAAACGCTGTATGGATTACCTTCGTAACACGGTATGTACACTTTGTTATTGGTATGCCATTTTTATCCTGACAGACTGCACGTCACTGTCGAGCTGTAACAGTTCGTGAGAGGTATACGTGCAATACCGGTCCAACCTTTCTTTGCCGAGTGTCGCGTCAGTATCGAGTTGCAATCGTAAAAGATCAGTCTCGAAGCGCTTACCAACAGCGCGAATACAGCACTTCCATCAAACGCGCGCGTCCGCTCCGAGTGTTAACAGGTATTTACGTGGCTCTTGCTGACACTCGTAGTTCAAACGTATCTTTTTTAACGTCGGCTCGCTCCTGCATCTCCGAGACCGCGAAAAACGCCGCGGCAATTTGTTTCCATCTACGTCGCTTTGCAAACGACTGACACTGGCCGCCTTTTGCCAACAATGACAGTTGGGTTGACTTCTGGAGTCTTCACCGGAAGACTCGCTGCACTTCCCAACAGGCATACCGGTGTATGGGACTAGTCCCATGCTGTCGCTGTAGCGCAACATATCTCGTTGAATTTCACTCAGCTGCGATGCGGCGATGAGAGGCGCCGATCCAGAAAATACATCGGTGACATCGGCGCAGTAAAACCTACCGACGCACCCCAACTCGTCGCCGCTAATGCTCCCATCTCCTACTGCCGAGAGAAGTTCCGGTTCCGGAAATAGCGTACGTCACGGCTTGTTTTGCGGTCAAGAAAAAGTCGATATTTCATTAATTTTTTGTGTAGAAGTTAATAAACCGAGACGAAAACGGATGCCTGTTCGGCATTCAGTGAACATTGACGGTTGAATGTAAAAGTTATCTAGAAAAAGTAAAAAAGTCATTTCATGGTCCCTTTAAGCACTTCTTATGAGTTGTGAATGCGAAAGCATGTATGTCATTCTTCCACTCCCTTATTTCCTCTGCAGCGCATTTGCGTCCACGACAAAGTGGTGCGCTCTGCCGGCAAGGAGAGGGCACCTCTCCTTGCCGCTCCGGGTTAGCGGCGCGCTGACGGACACACGGCGCCATGGGGTGAGCGGTGGTTGAAACTGACGTGCAGCAGCCAATAGGAGCTTCGTCGATGCTGCATTGGCTAGCTTTTCGAGTGGTTTCATAGCTGGGAGCTGGCTTCACTTGTGGAAAGAATTTAAGGTGTGGTTTGGCGCGGTTTTAAAGCTGATGACGTCGGCTCGCTCTATGAGACCCAGTTAATGCCTTCGCATTAAAAAAATCTGCATAAAGGAGTGACAGCGATAGCCATTATTGCATGTACTAGTAGCACTCCCCTTTGTGCGTAACGACTTTTTATTTGCTCCATCATACTCAACATAACCTCGCGGTCACTGAAGTATATGTAGAAAGGGAACACGCTGCACAAGCGAGTCAAACAGGAGTCAATGTTCCTGCCTGAGGCTAAGACGGGTACCATTATGAGTGGCGAGTTGCATAACCCCCGACAGTACGTGCGAATTGGGTTTGATGATAAGGAATGTGAAGCGGCGTCTCTCCTCTGCAATCACATAAGTAGATGGCGCTGACACATGGCAAAAGCCAAGTGCGTGTGCTTTGCCTGGCATCACAGGGCAATGCGCGCTTTCGAGTGCTCATGGAATGGAGTTTCCTGCCCAGCACAATGCCGGCGCAGCTGATGCAGCTGGGAGGTCTATATAAGAGCTATAAAACTTGGCCCTTTCCTACATTACTGTTGCGAGTGCAGTGGTAACACAAAATGTCAGGTGCGTTGCTTGGCGACATTCCACGGATGAACTTGGTATACATTTTGTGCCTCAAAAGCATAACCACTTAAAGGGGTTATGACACGAAATTTAAACGGATAGATTATTCTTGAAATGGAATGCTCATAGGCTACTTAGCATATCCACCAAGTAACGCAATTTTTAGAGCTCTGATCATTGCAATATTCAATTTACGGATTTTTATAATTTTCATCTGGCGACCAGGCAACACTGCTCAAGTTAGTCACACCATGGTGTCCATAAACCACGTGACCATGAACACTCTCTCATTCTAGGCGCCCCCAAGATCGCCCAAGCTCTTCTCGTCGCGGTACGAACAAAACCGCCCAAACAGCTCGGTAAACTGAAAGCTATTCTCGCTCTCGCCCCCCGGCCGGTTGACCTTCCACCCTGCAGGCGCCTGCGAGACATTCCCGGACGACGGTGACCACGGCGAACTCGTCGTCGCTGGAACTCGTCGCCAGCGGGTCGCAGTCAAAATGAACAGCTTCCAACATCTCTTGATAGCAATCACTCTCATCGCTGCTGCGATCAATGTCGAACACTTCGACAAGGCGATCGATGCCGTAGACGTAATCGTCACAGACCGGATGCTGGAAACGTGGAAGGTAAACGAGGAAGCTGAGGCTCGATACGCCAAGAGAGCCAAAACTGTGAGTGCGTGCAATTAGACACCACGCTGGAGGCTGGCTACGTCATCAGCCTCCAGGTCCGCCCGGATCTGCCCCTCCGAGGGGCCCGCATATAAATCGATTTATCCACGAAACTATCGCGCCTTTTTCAAAACAAATTTAGCAGGATTATAGGAACATACAATGGGTCCTAGCAGTATAGTTATGTAATATTTTATTTTTGGCGTGTCATAACCCCTTTAAAAAAAAAAAATTTGTAGCAAAATGAGTTAATTTTTTTATCATGATTGAGGGTTCCTCTCTGATACTGAAGCATACTGCTTATTGCACAAGGCTTATTGCCTTGTGTAATAAAAATGCATAGGACAGAAAAGGAACACACAAGTTTTATTTGAATATATATATTGGTTCCGTTTATAATGTGTAGCAAGAAAAAAAAAGGTTGAAAAACTGATCATAGCGCAACACTTTCGTTGAGATAAAGCCTATGCCCCTCCCGCTTTAATGCTCATAGTTTATTTAGCCTCTAAATAAATTTTGGTAAAATGCCGGAAAAAACTACCATACCCCCGAAATGTTGATCACTGAAAACATGCCCCCCGACCCCCTTGCCTCCCATTCTATATTATGAACCTACCGAAGACAAGATTCTAATATCATAAACTGCAAAAACAACCAGCTTCATATGTCATAAAAATCTACAGCTGCGCGTTAAAGGTGACGCCGCGCTTCAGTGGCATTAGGGTTAGGGTCCAGTCAGAATTCGCTGCCCGCTGAATACCGTGTCTATTCAAATATAGATCTGCGCTAATTTTGTTTCTTTCATTTCTCGGCACAGCTCTTTAAAATTAAAAATCAGCCTACAATTACGACTGAAGAAGGTCGACCTGTAATAGTACCGAGCATACTTTCCGAGCCCATCGAGCTAACCCAGCAGCTCCCCCGTGTTAGCCGCTGCTCCTTGCACTCCGATGTAAAGAGGTGGAGCTCGACGCACATGCGACGGTGCCAAGTGACGAAGGTCGATGCGGGCGGTGCAAGTGCCATGGTACAGTCTAGCCACGGCATAGAGGCATGTGGGAGACACGATAATCAAGTGATCTCATAAGGGTAACAGACCCCGGTCGCGTCTCGTCGCAGTGGCCGCCTTACCAGTATTTTACTAATTTTTCTCATGACTTCGAGCTACTGACATCGCCGACATCGTCTGGAAGTTCAGAGGATGACGTGACCAATGCGGCTGATGAGCGATTTCTATGCTTTGTTTCACCTTGGTTCGTAGCACGGAGAGATACATATTTGTACGATTTCCTCCCCTTTACTTCTCCAAATATTGGGGTCAAGCAATATTAATATATATTTTTTTGTCAAGGCCCATCTTGGTGCAGGTGTGGTGCAATTCTTTTGAGGTGTGGCATTTTGGCACAAGAAATAGCAGACCTTCGTTCACGGCGCAAATGGCGCAGCACTTCTGTCCGTGGTTAAGGATAACAAAAAACAAGGAATTCCCTTTCAGCAACTACATCCCCTGGAAAACGTTGTGCGGAAGTTCTAGAAGCTAGGGACTGCAAGGTCTCCAACCTGGAGCTGACATAATCTTGGCTCCGGTTTTGGAAACGGGAGCTCTCGCGGTGTAACAAACAAACGAAGCACCACTCACATTGTAGGGGATGAAAGGCCCGTTGGTCCTGGCATTGATCTCCCTGTAGATGAACTCCTTGCCAAACTTTTTGCCATGGGGAATCTGAAAGCATATCATCACGCAACGATGACCGACAGAGTCGGGATTCCAGCGTAACACTAATACCTGCTCCAAATCATTCGTACCTTGTACGCCTATTGATTGGAATCACCTTCCCACATCCACTGTTACAACTCTTAAATCTGTTGATTATAAAAATGCTGTAACCGAACTACTAGAACCCGTTTCACAATTTCCCGGTTTCGTTTATTTTTTGTATGTTATAGTTCCAACCCCTTCTGTAATTCCTCTAAGCTCAGAGAGTAAAATAAAAAAGAAAGAGCTTTTCTGGCTGTCTTACCTTCCACTGTGCACAGCAAAACTTCACTTGAACAAACCGTTCAGATTACCAGCTGAAGTTCTATGCCATGCAGGCTATGCAACAAAGGAGATAACGGAGGCATTTTATTTATCACGATGTAGGGAGGGCAAGTGTGTCAGTGTCCCTCCTGTGGCCCTTTATCAAAAAGAGAGAGAATATTTCGGCCAATGGGAGCGTGGTGTGTGATGACGTGGGTGTGGTGGATTGTTCGGGTTTTTTCGTGGCCTTAAAGGGATATTGAATCGAAACTTGAAATACTCCTATTATGGTCAGAAATAGGTTTAATATCTTCAATGATATCCGTAAATCATAATCGCGCGTTTGTATTTTGAACGGATGGCTATATTTTTCACCCTGAGAGGCCGGAATGGGCGCGCGCTCTAAAATCAGCCATCGGAGAGTGCGATGCGTCTTGGGACATTGGGCGCATTCGTGATGTCACTTGTGCCAGAGGGGAAAGGCTACGGCGTGGTGTTGTGGTTACGAGCGTTGCTACTTGTTGGCGCGTTGACGATTTACGACCTGTGACAACGTGGCCGTTCGAGATGTGCAACGGCTGCACGCACGCTGCACCACGGCACCACTGACAAAATCAGCTTTGAAGCCGGATTCTCAAAGCAAACTTACGACGAAAAAAGTGAGTACGACAAATTTGACAGAAAGCCTGTATTCTCGAAACGAAATTGTCGTAACTTTTGCGCAGGTTACGACAGAATCCTACGACAGCTCCGCAGCTGTCTTACGCACTTTTTACGATCAAATAAAACATGGCAGACACCGTTGCTCAGTTACCTGGTAGCGACGACCAACGGACCTTTATTTTTCTACGTGCTCTTCTCGTGCGTCCAGACTTCAACCAACAAGAAAAAGGAAGGAGTACTTGAAACAGACCACAACGATCAAGAACGCAGGGTCCACAAACACCCGAGAAGAGCTACAACGGCTACGATTCTACCGACCAAGCGAGCTCGGCAGAATATAGTAGGCCTAGCAGCAACACCGACTCGGCGCTCCGTTGCTCCGGCGGTCCTTGGCCAAGACCGTCTGCCCATGACCGGCTGGCCTGCTGAATGGAATATGGCCGCGTGACCCTTGTGGATCGGTCCCGGATGAATAGTTTGATCCCTGAACTAAATTTCAGAGGTCAATCTTTGCCCCTTATCATCTCGATCTCCCTGTTCTCCGAGACAGCGGTGACGAACGCTGTCGTCGAAAAGGGACTCTCATTGATTCTATCTCCTTAATTTCCGAGACAGCGGTGACGAACGCTGTCGTCGAAAAGGGACTCTCATTGATTCCATCTCCTTGTTTTGTGTGATATTGAGCTCAAATAAACGCCATACGGATTACCTTCGCAACACGGTATGTACACTTTGTTATTAGTATGCCATTTTTATTCTGACACGACGCTACGTTACTGTCGAGCTATAGCAGTTCGTGGGAGCTACGCGATGTCGGCCCAACCTTTCTTTGCCGAGTGTCATGTCAGTATCGAGTTGCTATCGTGAAAGATCGGTCAGAAGCGCTTAGCGAAACGCGGTCTAACAGAGCGAATCCAGCACTTTGATCAAACGCGCGTGTCCGCTCCGAGTGTGAACAGGTATTTGCGTGGCTCTTGCTGACACTCTCGTAGTTCAAACATATCTTTTTTAATGTCGGCCCGCAGCTCGCAGCAACAAATTCCGGCCGTGCCAGAAGCATGCTCGGGTCGTGTCGTGCAAACAGCCGCAACGAGAACGAGCTCACTGTGGCCAACTACGCTTTGGCTTTCTCCGCCAAGTCTTTGCAAACGCGTTCAGGCCTAGGCTAATTATGCCGGCACGCCGTATTGCCGCAGAACGGCGCTGCTCCCATGCCACAAGTGATGTCACGAGAACTTTCCCACCATCCACCAGATGTGAATTTAAAATTGTTTAATTAGGTTTAAAATTAGTTCTCCTGTGTTTTACAGCGGGATATTGATACTTCCGAGGTGGTGCCTGCCCCTAGCCCATATTTATGCAGAAAAATCGGCGCTAAAATTTCGTTTCCGTACCCCTTTAATGTTTTTCCTATTAAATTTCAGTTGCAAGTAAGCCCCTTGTCTGTGTGTATACTCTTCTACTGGACAGTCGTTTGTTTGCGCTGTATTCTCTTTCTGAGATCTCATCGGACTCCATCCTATCTTTACCAGCTTTTACACTCCCATTCAAACTACCGTAAAATCCCGTAGCATACCTGCCAACCTGTGAACTTTCAAATTCGTAAAACTCCTGCGGCTGCGGAGGGGTGTTTACGCAAAGTGATGTGCAGCTTAATCACAGCCTTGCCACCGTGCGAAACGCTTACATCACACGTGCATGTGCTACAGAATTCCAACTTCTTTCCCTTTTTGGACAGCACGAAGCACGGAAATTCCGATGTGTAAGACTTCAGGAGGACCTGAAAGTACCTCTTTTGAAGTTTGGAGTTCACCATTGCGGCCAGGGGAATGCTACGATTACACGTACAACAAACACACAGAGACGCCGCACTGCTCGGCTCGAAACTGGCCAAAACAGAGAGGCCCAACCACGTCTGAACACGCCGAACGAACGTGCGCCGCCAAACACACAAACAAAGGCTTTGGGCTTTGGATCCGTGGCAACCGGATAGACGAACAGTAAAATTCACGACGCTGCCGTGGACGGCACCTATCACCCTCTTGTGGCGGTGCAAGGTACAAATATCCAAAAACAATTTTACAAAAAAAAAAAAAAATATTACAATTTTTTATAACATTTTTTGTAAAATCTGAAGCAAGATTGGTACAATCGTAAAATTTGAAGCAAGATTGGTACAATAAAAAAATTAGCCCCAATGCATACATTATATGAAAAATTTGGAAGAGTTGGCACGCATGCGAAAGGGCGCCCTCCACCATGAGATTGCCCGTTCCGTTTTTCTTGCTAAATATCTAAAACAAAAAAATTCCAAATAATCGCCCACTCCCTATTCCCGTCCGAGATCACGCAATGTCCGACGGAAATCACACCAACTGCGTGATCTGCGGTACCGGTACGTCTGACAAAGGAGTTTTATCCGGATCAACCCCAGGAATTTCGGACATGGGCGCGTCCTCACAACTTGCGCCATCTCTCGGCATCCGGGAACGGGACTGACCGTAACTCAATGGGCGAAACCAGTTTATTTTTAATTGCTCAATACCAACGCAAATAATCAGCTTGCTCTCATTGGAGATCTATTGAGTTGGAATACTTACATCTGCAGACGAAATTCCAAACTCGTTTGACCATATTAAGTTTAGCCAAGGGCCAATCGAAAACTTTCTCATTGCGCCTACGGGAGCACCCGAAAAAAAGACCGTGTTTTCGTACAAGAACCCAGTCCTGATAAGAACTGTCGCTCATACATAATTGCTCTCATCGATAACGGGTACACAGTGAACTCAACTAAACTATGACGCTTTTTTTTCTTTGATCAATCCATATTACGACGGTCCATGAGCATTTCAGATATTTAAACGAAGCGCGGCATCTGTCTTTAAAGGTTTAGAAAAAGCATAAATGAGCGCATTCTATGTGTAATAGGTGCAATCACAAAATATTCACACAGTACATAAACAGTATCAGCAAACACACCAAACCTGCACACAGGTCTTGAGGTCCGAGGTTCGAACCCGGGTTTAAAATCAATAGGGATTTTATCCATTCAAACCACGGTTGGACAACAGTACCGTTGAAGTGTAATGACCATGCCAATGAAAGCAATTGTTGATTTCATTTAATTACACGTCTGTCACGTAATTAAAAATGGGCGAATTCTTTAAAATTGTGAAATTATACGCTCTCCAAGCTCAATTTTCAGACAAGCGCGCATGTTTCTTGCCCAAAGGCTAGAATCCCGACTTGTGTCAAACGCGAGCTAGAGGGTAGTTCCGTCCTCTAAATTAAAATACCGCTGAGAGCAATCCTTTAAGTTGCCTAATTACTTGTGTGTCACGTCATTAAAGCGGAGCCAAATCGTTATAATAGCGGTATTACGCAATCCAAGCTCGATTTTTGGGTGAACGCGCATGTCTCCTGCCCAAAAAACTAGAACCCCGACTCGGGTCAAACTCGAGTTATAGGATAGTTTCATACCTCTATATTGACATACCGCTGAGAGCAATCACCTTTATCGCCTAATTACTCGAGCGTCACGTCATTAAAGAGGAGCCCAATTGTTACAATAGCGAAATTATCCTCTCCAAGCTCGATTTTCGGGTAAACGCGCATGTCTCCTGCCCAAAGACTAGAACCCCGACTTGGATCAAACCCGAGTTTTAGGATAGTTCCATCCCTCTATATTGGCATACCGCTGAGAGCAATCATCTCTATCGCCTAATTACTCGCGTGTCACGTCATTAAAGAGGAGCCCAATGGTTAAAATAGCGAAATTATCCTCTCCAAGCTCGATTTTCGGGTAAACGCGCATGTCTCCTGCCCAAAGACTAGAACCCCGACTTGGATCAAACCCGAGTTATAGGATAGTTCCATCCCTCTATATTGGCATACCGCTGAGAGCAATCATCTCTATCGCCTAATTACTCGCGTGTCACGTCATTAAAGAGGAGCCCAATGGTTAAAATAGCGAAATTATCCTCTCCAAGCTCGATTTTCGGGTAAACGCGCATGTCTCCTGCCCAAAGACTAGAACCCCG